CAGCTGCATTCTCCCCCAGTTCTTGAGGCAGGCTTCCAATTATGGAGCAATATTCCTGTCCCTTGTCTCTACAGTTCTTGGTTGTCAGTCTCATACTATGTTATTTTATACTCCACAAATGAGTGTGGTCCTTCTATGTCTCTTTCTGACTCATTTCACTTAGCATGATACTCTCCATGACCATAAGCAAATTTCATGACTTTATCATTCCTAACATCTGCATAGTATTCCATTTTGTAGATGTACCAGAATTTCTTTAACCAGTCTGTTCTCAGGCTCTCGGGTTATTTTCAGATTCTGGCTATTGTGAACAGTTAGCATGGCTTAATCCGCATACTTGGGAAACTTTGTAATAGAATTAGACAATAAAGAAGTACAGGTATAGGGGCTGGAGCAATAGTACAGCGGGTCGGGTATTTGCCTTGCACACGGCTGACCCGGATTCAATTCCCAGCATCCCATATGGTCCCCTGAGCACCGCCAGGAGTAATTCCTGAGTGCAAAGCCAGGAGTAACCCCTGTGCATCACCGAGTGTGACCCACTCACTGTATCACTGTCCTCCCATTGTTCATCAATTTGCTTGAGCAGACCCAGTAACATTGTGAGACTTGTTACTGTGTTTGGCATATCAAATACGTCACGGATAGCTTGCCAGGCTTTGCTGTGTGGGCGAGATACTCTCGGTAGCTTGCTGGGCTCTCGGAGAGGGGCGGAGGAATCGAACTCGGGTCAGCCATGTTGGCTGCGTGCAAGGCAAATGCCGTACCCGCTCTGCTATTGCTCCAGCCCAGTGTGACCCAAAAAGTAAAAAAAAAAAAAAAAAAAAAAATGCAGGTATAAAAGAGACACATTCATATATTTGTAAAAATTTTCAAACTCTGTTTTAAAATATGTATTTCAGGGGCTGGAGTGATAGCACAGCGGGTAGGGCATTTGCCTTGCATGCGGCCAACCTGGGTTCAATTCCCAGCATCTTATATGGTCCCCTGAGCACCACCAGGAGTAATTCCTGTATGGAGAGCCAGGAGTAACCCCTGTGCATCGCCGGGTGTGACCCAAAAGGCAAAATAAAATAAAATATGTATTTCAATGTATGTAACATTTAAGGATGAAATTTTTGTTTTTGAACCATACTCCCAGCAGCGCTCAGGCACCAGATAGTTCAAAGACCAAAACCAGGCCTCCTACACACTTACATAGCATGCACTCAGCCTATGGAGCTCTCTTTCTCTCTGACCTAAGTTTAAAGTTTAAATGAGATAAATAGCCCCACAGTCTGAGTACTTGCTCTGCGTATGGGTAAATGACCCATGTTCTATCCCAGATACCACATGGTCCCCCATGAAAGTCTGATAAGAGTAGCTTCTGAGCACCACTGGGTATGGCCCAAAAATAAATAGATTTTTTAATTATTTCTTGCATATATTATTTTAGAAATTGAATCTGAGGGACCAGAAGCTTGTATGACACTCTGTTTTATCACCAGTTCAAGTTTAATTACATATACAGGGTCCTTTTTGCCATTTGAGGTAATATCCACAAGTTCCAGGGTTTTGGTTGTGGCTTTTCTTTTGGAAAGCTATTATTCATCCTACCATAATAAACATTTTTTAAGGTCATCTGAATATGAATGAAGAGAGTAAAAGGAAACTGTCTAAAATTATGGGGTTGGAGAAGAGAATATAAGGAACAGTATGGAAAACTGGTTAGACTCCACAGAAACAAGACAATCAAAGAACACAGTGCTCTGTGATGTTTCCATTATTGCCAAAGCAGTTATATAGTTGTCAAAGAAAAAGGATACTTATTTGCAATCCAGGGCAACTTTTCATTTCTTTAATCAGCCTTGGCTACATGTACATTGAGTACAGTGCATTGTCTTTCAGTGTTGGGAATCAAATCCGGAGCCTCACGTATGTGAGTCGTTCGGGCTACTGCTAAACCACGTCCCAGGCCTGCAGTAATAGATTTTAAATATTATTTTAAGGGCTCCCCCCTTTCAGTTTTTTATTTGGCGGTATTTTCCTGGCTTCACCTGACAGTACTCAAGCTACTCCCCATTCATTGCTGGAAGTTTATTGTTCCTGGCAGTGCTGGGATCAAACCCAGGTCTCCATCGTGCAGAGCATCCTCTCCTGTCACTTGAGCTCTCTAGCCCTGTGCCTATTTATTTACTGGTTTAAGGGTCACAGTCAGTGGTGTTGTGGGTGTGGGTAGCTATCCGTGGCTCAGGAGTAACCCTGTCTGCGCCTTCAGAAGCGTGTGAGTGCAGGGGCCTGCTGCATGCAAGTCAGGCAAGCCCCTGTCTCCTGTGCACTTCAACCCATGGAATCTACTCTTTTAAAAAAAAATCGTTCTAAAAAAAATTGTTCTATTTTAAACATAGAATTTACTACTTTTTCAATTCTAATAAAGTTAAAACAACCCTGTTTATTGAGGAACTTTACATGATGTGCATTTTGGGGGGCCAGAGGCATAGTACAGTGGGTAGGGCTCTTTCCTTGCTTGCAGCTCACCCAAGTTCCATGCCCAGCATCCCAGATGGTCCCATGAGCCCCTCTATAAGTGATCTTTGAGCACAGGGCCAGGAGTAACTCCTGAGTTCTGCCAGGAGTGCCCCCCCCCCAAAAAAAACATTTTTTTTTCACTTTTTAATAGGGCTGGAGTGATAGCACAGTGGGTAGGGCGTCTGCCTTGCACGCAGCCAACATGGCCGACCCGAGTTCGATTCCTCCGCCCCTCTTGGAGAGCCCGGCAAGCTACCAAGAGTATTTGATATGCCAGACACAGTAACAACAAAGTCTCCAATGGAGACGTTACTGGGCCCGCTCGAGCAAATCGACGATCAACGGGAGGGCCTTTACTTTACTTACTTTACTTTAATAGGTCACAGGATTTTTTATTTAAAATTTTTTGCCACATCTGGTGGTGCTCAGGTTTCTCCTGGCTTCGTGCTCAGGAATCACGCCTGGAGGCCGTAGAGGGTGCTATGGATCAGACCTTGCTCTGCCGCATGAAAGGCAAGTGCCCTTCCTACTGCACTTCACTCCAGCTGCAGGTCACAGTATTTCTGTTTAAAGAGGCTAAAGAGGCTTACTTTTTTTTTTTTGCTTTTTGCTTTTTGGGTCACAACAGCAATACACAGGGGTTACTCCTGACTCTGCATTCAGGAATTACTCCTGGCGGTGCTCAGGGGACCATATGGGATGCCGGGAATCGAACCCAGGTCGGCCGCGTGCAATGGCTCCAGCCCCCCTTTTTTCAATATATAAAATACATTTGTCTTGTAGAAATTTTGGGGGACAAAGGAATAGAATCCACTGCTATTCATATTTAATTTTATTTCATATGTCTTTTTCTGTGTGCATTTAAAATTAGATAATTAAAATCATAGCATGTACACAGTTTTGCTTCTAACATTTTTTGCCTTGCTTCCTGCCTTCTTCGGTTTGAATCCCTGACATCATTTATGGTCCCCCTGGTACCACTGCCAGGGGTCACTGCTGAGCACTGCCAGTGTGGCCCAACCCCTATCCTCAAAAAATTGTAATACTAGATTAGATTAGGTAAGGATCACAAAGTAAGTCTGGGTTTTACAACTAGAATATTTAAAGCTAGCTGGTTAGACTTTAAATACTTATTTGCAGGGGCTGGAGTGATTGCACAGTGAGTAGGGCATTTGCCTTGCACGCGGCCGACCCAGATTTGATTCCCAGCATCCCATATGGTCCTCCAAGCACCGCCAGGAGTAATTCCTGATTCCTGAGTGCAGAGCCAGGAGTACCCCTGTGCGTCGCTGAGTGTGACCCCCCCCCAAAAAAAAATTAAATAAATAAATACTTCTTTGCAGCTAAGACTTTGTGATTAGAGAATGTGATTCTTGTGGGGCCCGAGTGATAGTACAGTAGGTAGGGCATTTGCCTTGTATGCAGCTGACCTGAGCTTAATCCCTGGGACCCCAACAGCAGGTAGATCATTTGCCTTGCATGTGGCCAACCTGGGTTCAATCCCTGGCACCTCATATGGTCCTTCGAGCACCACCAAGAGTTATTCCAGAGTGCAAGACTAGGAGTAAGCTCTTAGTACTACCAAGTGAGGCCCCAAAACCAAAAAATAATATAAATAAATATACTATGTAATTCTTTTATTAATTTCCAGATTACCCAAATATGTTAGGACGTAGGGAACTGAAAAGATTAAGTAGAGTATGAGTATCGCACTTGCCTTGCACATTCCTTGGTTACATCCCTGACACTGTATGATTCTCTTAAATCCCTCTAGGAGTGATCCCTGAGCATAGAGCTAGGAATAAGCATTGAGCACCACTGAGCATGTACCTCAGACCAAACCAAACAAAAATTTGCACATGCACATATACATACTGGGTTTGGGGCCATCGCAGTGGTCTACTGTAGCCTAAGCTCAGTGCTGGAAATGTGGGGGTGTAGGTCACTCTGATGATGCTCAGGGAACCATGTGGTGACAGGGACTGAATCTGGGTCTTCTGCATGCAAAGTGTGTCTTTGGCCAATTAAACTATCTCCCTGATCTTAGAATTTTTCAAATTTTATTTATATTTTTTAATTTGGGGGCCACACCCGGCGGTGCTCAGTGCTTACTCCTGGCTTTGCACTCTGAGTAGACTCAGAGATGAGGGGAGGGAGAAAAGAGAAAATACAAAAAGAAATTGTTTAAGGTAATAGTGTACCAGAAAGATAGTACAAGAGTTATTTACATGCAGCTGAGTCCGGAACCTCATGGCCTCCCAAGCACTGCATGGAGTGATTCTTAAACACAAAGCCAGGAGTAAGCCCTGAGGACCACTGGGTTTTGGCCCAAAACCAAAAGAGTAAAAATATATGTAGATTAAATAGACTAGAATGCTTTTTATATATATATATATTTTTTTTTTTTTAGGTTCTTGTTTGTTTTGTTTTTGCATTATAGGGAAAGTGAATTATACAACAGCCTACAGAACTTTCTTTTTTTTTTTTCCTAGCTTAAAGCAATTAATGTAGATCTTCAAAGTGATGCTGCTCTGCAGGTGGACATTTCTGACGCTCTTAGTGAGAGAGACAAAGTAAAATTCACTGTTCACACAAAGGTAAATGTGATTTTATTCTTGTGCTATTTAGCTATTTATTGTGCTATTGTCAGAGGTTGACCAGAATTTTAATTTTTTAACAGAACCAGAAAGACTACTTTAGTTTACAATTTATTGCTGTTTTTTTAGCAGAGAAAATTTCAGGGAGAGGGTCCGAGGATGGCTGGGTAGTGGACCTTGAGAAGGAGCTCTCCCGTACTGCCATTTGTGGTCCCCACTGCCGTAGCAGAATATGCAATCTGCTGTGCTCTGCATCCAAGTGTGTGCACTCCCTGCTCATCCAAACAATAGCAACAGTAACTAGAAGGGGGCGGGGAGATTGTGATTATAAGCAAAATATATAAATAAAATAACTTTAAAAATTTTAGGGGGGAAAAATACCTCATGTTGTTTCACTAATAAAAATTTAAGGAAAAAAAGTTTTAAAAAAATTTTAGGAAACTGTTTTCTTAAGATTAACAATAATCACAACCTGAACTTAATGGAATTTTTACTTTCTCTAGACTTTATTTATTTTGATTTTGGAACCTTATACATGGCAATGTCCAGGAATTATTCCTGGTGGGCTCAGGGGACCATATTGATTTAACCCAGGTTATCCAAGTGCAAGGCAAGCACTCTACCCACTGTATTGCTGCTCTGGCCCCTGTAGACTTATATTAGTATGTTTTCCAGTCTCGCCTGCCTCACTATAGACTCCCTCACCACCAGCACAGCTCTTGGTCTCTTTTTGGCCACAACTCAGTGTTGCCCTTTGATCACTTCTTGTGGTGCTCGGGACCATATGGGATGCTGGGGATCGAACCTGGATCTTCCGCAAGCGAGCAAGACAAAGTGCCCTATCCACCCACTGTATTATTGATCTAGCCCCTTGGCAGAGCATTTCTGGAAGCCTCTAGCCATCTTCTGGACCTTTCTCTCCGGGGATCCCATCTGGCAGAGCTGTCAGGATTGCAGATACTAGGCACTGGAGATATATATATATACACACACACACACATATATATCTATAAAATATATACATTTATTAATATAATATATAAATATATAATTTAATTGATATATAAATTTATTTATTGAATCACCTTGAGAATAGATACAAAGCTTTCAAGTTTAAGTCTCGGTCATTCAATGATGGAACACCCATCCCTTCATCAGTGCACATTTTCCACCACCAAAAACCCCCCTGTCCCACACCCTGCCCCTACCTGTGTGGCAGATGATTTCCACATTACTCTCTCTCTACTTTGATTACATTCAATATTTTGATATCAGTCCCACCATTATTATTTAGGATTTTACTCCAACACTAGGACCTGCTGAAAAGGCAGCATTAGATTATTTGTTTTCTATAGCTGATTATGAATAGCATATGATGCCACGTGGTCATTGTGGCCGTGTGATTTTAGAATTCTGAAATTTTAATTATTAAATCTGGAGGGATTTCTTCCAAAAGCCGCTGGGTTCTGAGATTCATTTGCGTATCTCTGGGATCATGGCTGTTAAGCAGCTTAATCAGTAGCCAGAGGGGCAGTTCATGGGCAGTGACTCCGGTCTCATTGCCGCAGGGGAGGACAAGGGCCAGCACCACCCCCATCCCATGAGACCCTGCAAGTTTCATGACTGCTGGCCCATTCCTGACTGTCCAATGGCCTCTGAAAGATGGCGGCCACTGAGCCGCTAGGGGTAATAGGCAGAGGGACGGCACCTTTTCTCACCTGGGGTGTAGGCACTGGATATTTTTATTTTGGCGCCCCACCCAGTGGTGCTCAGAGGCTCCTTCTGGCTTGGTGCTCTGGGGTCGCCTCAGTAGTGCTCAGGGAACCATGTAGTGCTAGGGATGCAAAGCATGTGTTTCAGCTAACTATAGCTCTGGGGCCCCAGCATCACATTTGAACTCACAGCCTCTTGTCCGACAGCATTTGAAGCCACTAAATCATCTTCAGGGACCCTTTTATCTTTTATCAATCTTAGTAAATTTTTTTTTGAACTTCAATTTTTTTTCTTTTTCTTTTTTTTTTTATTAGTGAAACACCCTGAGGTACAGTTATAGACTTACAAATTTTTGTGCTTAGGTTTCAGTTACACAATGATCAAGTACCCATCCCTCCACCAGCGCCCATCCTCCACCACCACGGGTCCCAATCTTAGTAAATTTTGTTGTTATGTTTCTAAATTACTGTCTTAGAAATTTAATTTTCATCTTAGATTTTAGTTGTCAGGTTCATTTTCAGATTGCAGATGTATCTTTTGTTTAGTTGAGTTGGAAATGTCTTAATGTAACTTCTAAGTAATGATAGGAATACGATATAATAGGAGGCCTGCCAACTTATTTTTTTTAAATCCTGGATTAATTTTGTCTAAGTGCCTCAAGATTTTCATAATAAAGTTTTAAAGTACTGATAAATAGTTCCATGTTTATTAAAACCTTTTTAGTGTCTTTTAATTTGAGAGAATCTCTTTCTTTGCAGAGTTCATTGCCAAATTTTAAGCAAAATGAATTTTCTGTTGTTCGACAACATGAGGAATTTATCTGGCTGCATGATTCCTTCGTTGAAAATGAAGATTATGCAGGTTACATTGTAAGTATTTAGTTTAGTTTTGTTTTGTTTTAATTTCATTTTCTTGGAAGAGTTTTTGTTGTTGTTGTTTTGGGTCACTCCCATCAATGCTCACTCACAGCTTGCTCCTGGTGATGCTTGGGGGACTATACTGATCATTCTGGCCCCTTTAATCTGAACTTTCTAGGTACTTCATTGTGTGTTAAATCTCGTTTAGTAATTGATGTAATTTGTTTTGTTTTGATTTTGAGCCCATACTTTGTCATGCTCAGGGCTTACTCCTGGTTTTGTGCTGAGGGATCCCTCCTGGCAGGGCTCATGGGGCCAGATGGGCTGCTGGGATTGAATCTTAGTGAACCATTTTCAAGGCAGGTGCCTGACCCTCTGTTCTATCTCTCCAGCTGCTCTTTTTTTCCCTGCTGCCCCCCCTCTTGTTTTGTTTTTGAGCCACACCAGGACTGTTCAGGGCTTGTTCCTGGCTCTAAGCTTAAGGAGCACTCCTGATGGAGTCAGGATCAAACCCTGGTCAGCCATGTGCAAGACAGGACTTACTCCTGGCTCTAAAGCTCAGGTGATCACTCCATATGGGGTGGCAGGCATCAAATCCTGGTTAGCCATGTGCAAGACAAACACTTTACCCACTGTACTCTGTCCCCTGATTTTGAACTCTTAGGTAGAAAGATTTATTTAAGGGTTGGAAGGCTTGGGGGCTGGAGCGATAGCACAGTTGGTAGGGAGTTTGCCTTGCACGTGGCTGACCCAGGTTCAATTCCCAGCATCCCATATGGTCCCCTGAGCACTGCCAGGAGTAATTCCTGAGTGTATGAGCCAGGAGTAACTCCTGGCATCACCGGGTGTGACCCAAAAAGCTAAAAAAAAAAAAGGGTTGGAAGGCTTGGGGTCAGAGAGATAGATAGTACAGGAGTTAAGGCACTTGCTTTGCATGCAGCCAACCCCTGGTACTGCGTATGGTCCCTGAACACAGGATTAACTCCAGAACACCACTGTTATGTCCCCAACACACAAAAAGAAATGTGCTTTGTTATGTTCCCTTTTTAATATAAAGAACTTCGAGAAATTTTCACTTCTAGACCTACTCACATTTTCTAATCTTGGGGGCAGAATATTTCAGCTTCTTTTCTATTCAGGATATTTTTCACTTTTGGTCTTTAATGGTAAAACTACTAGAGAAATGAAATAATCTTTGGGTTTTTGTTTTGTTTTGTTTTGTTTTGAGGTCACAACCAGCATTTCTTAGGGCTTATTCTGGTCTCTGGCTTGGCGATCACTGCTGACAGACTCGGTACATATGGGGTACCTGGGATAGAACCCAGGTCCACCATGTACAAGGCCCTGCCCTCTGTACTATCATTCCAGCCTGAGAAATGAAACAGTTGTTGAAATTAGTGATTTTGTGCTGGGGATATAGCCCAATGATAAAGTACACGCAGAAATCTTGAGTTTGATCCTCAGCGCAACAAAAATATGTTTTGTTGTAGATCCCACCAGCACCACCACGACCTGATTTTGATGCTTCAAGGGAAAAACTTCAAAAACTTGGAGAAGGAGAAGGGTCCATGACAAAAGAAGAATTCACAAAAATGAAACAGGAACTGGAAGCGTATGTGTTTTGTTGTTGTTGTTACTGTTGTTGTTGCTTTTTGTTAATTCTTGCTTGTTTTAATTTCTTTTTTTTTCTTTTTTTTCTTTTTTTGGTGCTCTCTGATATCCCATCCTTTTAATCATTTTCACCATAGTAACTCTTTTGGAAGATGCAGTTTTAAACCACACAATCAGTATTAATGATCATGATCAGAGTCCACAAGAAAATTATAGAACAATTATCTACATTGTAAAAGTCTTTAAGTTGACGTTTTAAATAGACTCTTAAAGTTAAATAGTGGAGCATCCAAAAGCTTATTTAAAACATAGAAGGAAAAAAAATAGTAGAAAACTAACGATTTGACTAGGGTGAGGAGGGCACACCTGGAGTGCTCAGAGAACCTTGGAATATTGGGAGTTAAGTCCAGGGTTCCTGCATGCAAAGCATCTGCTGTACTTCTTTCCTTAGAGCTGTCTCCCAAGCCCAGAAAATGAAGGTTTTTAGTTTGATTCCCCCTTCCCCCCACCCCCCGGCCGTCACTGGTGGTATTCATAAGTTACTCCTGGCTCAGTCCCAGAACTTGGTGGTTGCTTCTCAGAGTGCTCAGAAGACCATGTAGTGCTGAGGGTTGAACCCAGGCTTTTAGCATGCAAAACATAGACTCCGGCCCATTGAACTCTCTCTCAAGCCCCTGGAAAACAGAATTTTTAAAGCAGAATATAAATTATTTTGTTTAGTATTTCCAGGGCCATGGTCATTTCCAACCTCATTTTTTTGTTGTTGTTTTTTAAGGTTTTTGGGTCATGACACCTGTGGTGTCCGGGTTTACTCCTGGTGGGCTCAAAGAACCAGATGTCATTCTGGGACTTGAATCCAGATTGGCTGTGTATAAGGCAAATGCCCTACCCACTGTCCTAAGTTCCACCCCGCCAGTTCTCTTTTTTGATTCATGTTTGCATATAAACATCAACTAAGCTGCCCTTTGCATCTATTCTATTTTCTGTTTTGTTAAATGAGAGGGTGTGATTACCTTTCTTTTTCTGCCTGTTACTTTTGGCATGAGAGAAAGGAATTGGAATAAAATAAAGACGGAAGTTTTAAAATGTGTTTCAGTGTTGGAGATATGGTAGACTGGGTGGGGCTCTTGTCTTGCATGTAACCAACCCATGTTCAATCCCCAGCATCCCATATAGTTCCTTGAGCACCACCAAGAGTGATTCCTGAGTGCAGAACCAGAAGTAACCATGGAACATCAGTAGGTGTGGCCAAAGAAAAAATTCCGCCCCTCTCGGAGAGCCCGGCAAGCTACCGAGAGCATTCGATATGCCAGACACAGTAACAACAAAGTCTCCAATGGAGACGTTACTGGGCCCGCTCGAGCAAATCGACGATCAACGGGAGGGGCTTTTAGAAAATCAAATTAAAAATGTTTTTATGGAGCCAGGGATATTGCTCACACTTCACCTTGTATATGTAAGGCCCTGGGACCACCAACAAGTAAACTAAATAAAAATAAAAGTAATAGAGCTGAGAGTACAGGGATTAAAGCTTTTGCCTTGAGTCGCTCTGACCCCAGTTTAAATCCCTGATGCTGCATGTGGTCCCCTAAGTACTGTCAGGAGTAGCCCTAAAGCACCACTTGGTTAGATCCAAAAATGAGTCAGTCGATAATCAGTACATAAGACTAGATTCCAGGGAGATAGCTCAGAGAGCTGGAGCACGTGATTTGCCCACTGGAAGCCCACGTTCAGTACTCAGCACTGCATGCTCCCCTGAGCATAGCCAGGAATAGCCCCTGAGTGTCACCTGTCACCATATGTGGCTCTAAATCCCCTGTGATAAAACTAAAATGTTACCAGAGAGTTAGTACAGTGGGTAAGGTGCCTGTCTTGCATGTTGCTGACTTAGGTTTGATCCATGGCACCGCATTTTGAACACCACAGGGAGTAAGCCCTGGTCAGAGCCAGGAGTAATCCCTGAGCCAACACCAGGTGTGGCCCCAAAAACAAAAAGATAGAACAAAAAAGGTTTTTATTACAGTTATTTAGTATAGTTTCACATACACATATATATGTATTAAAGCCTTGAAAAAATAGATTCCTATTATAATTTCAACTTGTTGAAAATAATTTTATATTATATATTGTTTCTCTGTGTTTTGAGAGTTAACAAGAGAAATAATTCCCTTGTATTAGCATCACCTCCATCACTCTTTTTCTCGTTATTTGTGCATTTTTCTTGTCTTCCACTTAGTTTTACTTTTCAAACATACATTCACAACTGCTACTGGATTCCTCTTCAGAATACTAAATTTAGGGACCAGGGCTCAGAGGTATGCAGCGTTCCTCGCATGTGTGAAGCTCTGGATTTTATACTGATACTACGAAAAATACAGAATGCTAAATTTTCTTGGTAAATAATGAGCAAAGTAGGTCTTTCTTGTCCAAATGTAAGGTGACAGATATCTTAGGAATTCTGTCAGTGGTGGGTGCAAACTATAATCTGATAGCAGAGAGATGTAATTTTTTTTACATTTTTTGAGACTAAAAGCTGGAAATTAGTAGAGCACATTAATATAGAAGAATCTATGGTTTTCCAGTGGCCCTGATCATGATTCTTTTGTGGTCTGGTTAGGGGTTGGATAACAGAGAACCTTGGGTTTATTCTACTGCTACCTCCATCCTCTGCATCCTTCTTTTTTGTCTTCACTGAATGACTACCCTCACAGAGATCAAACTTCTCCCAACATTGGTCCTGCTGGTTTGCTGGTATGTAAAACTTATCCTCCTTGCACGTAGTTGAAGCAAGAATATTGGGCCGTTTCCTTGAGTGTTTTTTTTTTTTTGCCCCCAAACTGACATATATTACTGTTGATCGCTGTGAATCACTAGTGATATTAAGCGTTTTAAACTCAGTTCTCTCAGTTTGCCTAATGTATTGGCAAAAATTAGCCTGTGCTATACTTCTTGTGTGTTTGGATCATTAGTTAAAAATTATTATTGTAAAAAAAAAATTAAAAAAGGGGCTGGAGCAATAGAACAGCGGGTAGGGCGTTTGCCTTGCACGCGACCGACCTGGGTTCGATTCCCAGGGTCCCATATGATCCCCTGAGCAACGCCAGGCGTAATTCCTGAGTGCAGAGCCAGGAGTAACCCCTGAGCATCGCCGGGTGTGACCCAAAAAGAAAAAAAAAAAAATTAAAAAAGGTTATTACTGTTATATTTTTGTACAAAGGTGTTTAAGAGCATTAGTTATCGGTAATTGAATCATTAAGATAGTACCACATAATTAAATATACTTTGCCTGGAACTGAAGATACACACTCCTATATCTGTCACCTTTAAAATCAACTTGCTTAGGAAGAAAAGTTCATAAAACCTAAAAATATTAACACTTACATATAATAAATATTAACCAGCATGGAGTCTTTTCAGAGCTGGGTTTTGTATATTTTATTAACAGTTCAACTAAAATTTTTGTTTACATGAATTATCTTTGTATCCAATTTATTCATTCGCAATAATCCAAAGAATATTTGCTAAAATATTATTGAATATGATTTTCTAGTTGATGCAGTAATTTACCTTTGGTTTTGTATATTATTTCTAGTGAATATTTGGCAATATTCAAGAAGACTGTTGCAATGCATGAAGTATTCCTATGTCGTGTGGCAGCACATCCTATTTTGAGAAAAGATTTAAATTTCCACGTCTTCTTGGAATATAATCAAGATGTGAGTATTGAATTAAATAAAGCAATCAGTTTATTTTAGTGAATTACTAAGGTGATCAAGGTTTATTTAGAGTCAGTAGAAAAGGCATTGTTAGTTTTCAATACAATTTGAAATGATACTTTTTCCTTTTACACAGCAGTATTTCAGAGGCAATTGAATAGATTAATTGCAGTAATGATGATATATCATCTTACTACATGGGTTGTTGATTTTCATTCTGCATTATGAACTTCTTGAGAAATGGGATTATTAAATTATTAAAATGGTTCTTTTGGAGCAGGGTTGTTGGGCCACACCCAGCAGTGCTGGGGCTGCTTCTGGCCCAGTGACCAAGGGTCACTCTAGCAGTGCTAAAGGAGCCTTGCTGTGCTGGGTATTGACTCTGGAACTGCTGTGCTCAATCCATGTCCTGAGCTATCTTCTTGGTTCCTAATTCATATTTCTCATGTACACATTGGGAGTGTTCTGAAGTCTCATGGAGATTCCAGAAGATTCTCTTGTTTTCGGGCCACACGTGGCAATGCTCAGGGGTTACTCCTTGCTCTGTGCTCAGGAATTACTGCTGGCAGTGCTTGGAGAACCATATGGGATGCCAGGTATCAAGCCTGGGTTGGTCACATCCAAGGCAAATGCCCTACCCCTTGTACTATCATTCTGCCCTCAGGAAGATTTTTTTTTTTTTTAAAAACCAGGAAGATTCTTGAGCAACACATTCTCTATTACTAAGACCAGGGAAATAACTCGAAAGGTTGAAGTGCATGCTTTGCATCAGAGAGTAAAGGTGATAAGACACTTGTCTTGCATGCACCAGACCTCGGTTTGATCCCCAGCACCACGTATGGTCCCCTGAGTATATAGAACCAAGAAGAATCCCATAAATGATGGGGGCTGGAGTAATCAATCCAGGTTCAGTCTCCCCTTCACAACGCCCATTCAAATTCCAGATTAATTTTGAGTATGCCTTAACTCTTAATTTATTTACCTGACCTTCAGTGCTGATCCCTCCCTGCTTAAAATTATTAATAGTGCAAGGGGACGTGGGGGAGGGTTGAAGTGGTTAAACTTAAAAATTTCTTCGTTCATATTGCTACATGATGCTGCATAGTGGCTAGCGGGTAGGCCTTGCACACAGTCAATTTGGGTTTGATCTCTTGCATCCCATATGGTTCCCTGAGCTTCACCAGGTGTGATCCCTGAATCCGAGCCAAGAGTAAGCCCTGAGTACTGTCAGGTGTAGCCCCAATTTTTGTTTTGGGGCATAATATTTCTTAGTGAGTGATTGATATATATTTTGGGATCTGTATTCAAATGATGAGATAGACTCATTTTTTTTTTTTTTGCCTTTTTGGGTCACACCTAGCAATGCATAGGGGTTACTCCTGGCTTTGCACTCAGGAATTAGTCCTGGCGGTGCTCAGGGAACCAAATGGGATGCTGGGAATCGAACCCGGGTCGGAAGTGAACCCAGGTCGGCAGCATGCAAGGCAAACACCCTACCCGCTGTACTATCGCTCCAGCTTCTAAACTTATAATTTTAGCTAAAAACAGTTGTAGAATAGTTTTTACTTGCTTACAAGTCAACATCAGCATCAATTTTGTGTATAAAACTTTTCCATCTGATTTAGTCTAAGCAGTTATGACAGTTAAATGTCCTGTTTCAGTATACTGAGAAAAAAAATTTTAAGTGTGAAATAACTCATGGTCACAGAAATACTTCATCATAAGCATGAATATATTTATAAGCATAGACTTACATGACACATGCATGTATTTATAGCTAACAGTTGTAAAAAATGTTGACTATATCAGGCATGAGGGATATAAACTCTAGTAGTATTCTGTGCTTATTCTGCTTAAATAATAAGGACTTCTAGAACAGTGAGAATGCATGAGGACATGTTTTAGACATTTCCAAGAGAGGCTTGGAATTGTAGGGAACGTGGGAGTCTTAACAGACTGACTGAAGGGGCTTGAATGAAAGAAACTAGAAAACTTTGGAGATTAAATGCAAAGTGTTTCATACTCATCTAATGTGAGCTTAGTCGGATCTCCTTGTAAGAATATGATGTAGGGCCAGAGATGTGGCTCAGCAGTAGAGCACTTGCCTTGAATGTATGTGGCTCAGCATTTTACTCCTGGTATTGCATGGTTCTTCCAAGCACTGAGCCAGGAGTAGCCCCCCAGCACAGCCAGTTGTGACCCAGAAACCAGTAAAAAGGAATATGATGTAACAGGGCCAACTGCTGATTCAAAGAACCAAAAAGCCTTTGAGGGTGACCCACCCCCGAAAAAATAGTATAAGATCTAAGGTTTAGAGAGGCAGTTAGAGGTTTGTAGGTCTTATGTAAAGGTGACGTTGAAGCCAAAGAAGGGCATTATATGAGTTATGTATCTTTGGGGCACCCTGATGCTGCAAGTGGTAAAGTTAGAAGAACTGCTTTCTGTTTTGCCTTTAAAGGGCCATTCAGGGTCGGGATCGGGGTAGTGTGGAAATAATGCCTCACCTGAGACTGGTGCTGTTTGAGATTCACAGCAAACAGCAAGCTAAGTGCATGTGACCTCCAGTCATGGCAGATAACAACAAAAGGGAATAGAAATGTTTTGGGGGTTTGTTTTGTTTTGGGGCTACACCCTGTGGTGCTCAGGGGCTATTCCTGGCTCTGCACTCAGGAATCACTCTTGGTAGTGCTCAAGAGACTATGGGGTGCAGGAGATCCAACCCGGGGCAGCCGTGTGCAAGACAAGCACCCTACCCACTGTACTATCTCTCTCGCCCTAGTAAACAACTTTTTACAAATTAAAATTAAAAAAATAACGGGGCTGGAGCAATAGCACAGCGGGTAGGGTGTTTGACTTGGACGCGGCCGACCCGGGTTCAATTCCCAGCATCCCATATTGGTTCCCCAAGCGCTGCCAGGAGTAGCTCCTGAGTGCATGAGCCAAGAGTAACCCCTGTGTATCACCGGGTGTGACCCAAAAAACAAAACCAAAAAAAATAATTAAAATTGATAACCAGTGACTGAAGAGATAGTGGGTAGGGTGCTTACCTTGCACATGGCTGACCTGGGTTCAATCTCTGGTGTCCCCTGTGGTCTCCTTAGCTCTGCCAATAATGATTCCTGAGTACAGAGCCAGGATTAACCCCAAGCATCACTGGGTATGACCCAACAAATAAATAATACAAAGAAAGTAAAAGAACCATGCATACCATTCAGTCATCTTTTGTATTGCTTATTAGTTGCTGACACTCAACACAGGATAAGAAGTGACCCTTAGATGAGCTCAGAGTAAAGAATTTGCAGAGGATCATGTGATTGTACTCCAATAAATTTTATGTTTAAGGACTGGAGAGAGAGTGTGACAGGCTTAGCACATCTTTTATAGAATGCCTGGGATGTATCCTTGATATTTTATGGTCCCTCAGCACTGCCAGGAATAAGCCTCTCTGCTCTTCTTCACCACCAAGTGTTCCCTTTGGGAAAAAAACTTTCACACTTTAAGGAACTTCTCATTTAAATTTTTCAGTTGCTTTATAAAGTCCTGGTGGTTTCACATCTACTTGCTTGCACATTTAATTGTGGTACTGTGGATTACCACAACAGACCTCGCAGTTGTACTCAGCAGCAGTGTGGGTACTGAACCATATCCCTGGGCCCCAGACCCTAATGCCCTAAAGTTTGAAAATCACTGATAAATATGATACAGTTAACAAGCTTAAGTTTAAAATTGGAATCTTGGGGGCTGGAGCGATAGCACAGCGGGTAGGGCATTTGCCTTGCATGCGGCCAACCTGGGTTCGATTCCCAGTATACCATATGGTCCTCCAAGCACCATCAGGAGTAATTCCTGAGTACAGAGCCAGGAGTAACCCCTGAGCATCGCCAGGTGTGACCCAAAAAGCAAAAATAAAATAAAATAAAATTAGAATCTTGGCAGGGATATAACTCAGTGGTAGAGTATTTGCCTAGCATGTTTAAGGTTGTAGGTTTGATGCATTACCCTCCTCATCCCACCCCGTTAGAAGACAAAAAAACTGCGTGTGGGGCTGAAGAGATAATACGGGCTTAAGGCACTAGCTTTGCACATACCAATCCAAGTTAGATCCCTGATACTGCCTGTTGTTCTGTGTGTGTGTGTGTGTGTGTGTGTGTGTGTGTGTGTGTGTGTGCGTGCGTGTGTAATCACTTAAATGAAAAATGAAATTTGAGATTGCCATTTTATTTTCAGAGAAAAAGACAATTCTTCCCAATAAATTTTTGTAAAAGTTGTCTTAAATTTGCCTTTCAGTTGAGTGTACGAGGGAAAAATAAAAAAGAAAAGCTTGAAGATTTCTTTAAAAACATGGTTAAATCAGCAGATGGGGTAATCGTTTCAGGAGTAAAGGTAAGATTTTGTTAATTATTAAAGAGAGGCATTGATTTGAGATTTTACTAATTTTTTTTTAATTTAGGCACTGTGATTTACAAAGCTGTTTCTAATAGAGTTTCAGGCATATAATGTTCCCCCTCCAGTCCCAGTGTCAGTGCCCCTCAATCAATGTCCCCAGCTTCCTTCCCACCTCCCAGCCCACCTTCTCAAAGACACAGTGACGTTTTACTTCTTTGAAGAGAAGGAGGGATTGAGATTTCAGCGGTGCAGAAAATTATATTGTAGTAAAAGAAAAGTATAGTCGAAGTGACATCTGTACCTGTTTGTTCATTGCAGCACTCTACAATAGCCAGAATCAGGAAAAAACCTGAGTGCCTGAGAACAGATGACTGGTTAAAGAAACTTTGGTACATTAACACAATGGAGTACTATGTAGCTGTTAGAAAAGATGAAGTCATGAAATTTACATACAAGTGGTACTACATGGAAAGTATCATGTTAAGCAAAATGAGTCAGAAAGATTGGGATAGACACAGAAAGATTGCATTCATCTGGGGAACATAAAGTAACATAATGGGAGACTAACACCCAGGAATGACCAAGAATAGCATCAGGAATTTTGCTCCATGACTTGGAGGCCAGCCACACATGCTAGGGAAAAAGGAAGCTCAGATAGAGAAGGGAGCACCAAATAAAGGGTGTTGGGAGGATCCTCCCAGGATGGGAGAAGCATGCTGAAAGTAGACTATAGACCAAAGATGATTGCCACTCAGTGCCTCTCTTGCAAACCACAGAGCCCAAAAGGAGAGAGAGACAACAGAAGGGAATGACCTGCCACAGAGGCAGGGGGGGGATGGGGGGATGGGAGGTGGGAGGGATGCTGGGACCCATGGTGGTAGAGGATGGGCGCTGGTGGAGGGATGGGTACTTGATCATTGTATAACTGAAACCCAAGCACAAAAATTTGTAAGTCTATAACTGTACCTCGTGGTGTTTCACTAATTTAAAAAAAAAGAAAGAAAGAAAAAAGAAAAGTTTGGAAAGTAGAATCTTCAGGGCTGGAAAACTTTGGTCCCCTGATTTAGGTTCCACTCTTTGGGAAGCCCCATCTTCAAGAGGTCTGCAGGGAGTTTTCCTGCCCCTCTGAACCCCACACCTTCAAGACTGAATTATGTTCCAGGTATCAAGAATCCCATAATTCCCTACCTCAATTCCAAGCCTCTTTCAAAGTCCTTTGTGGACTTCTTCCATAAGTTTATTCTCTGGAACGGGATTTCTTCTTTTTTTGGTTTGGTTTGGTCTTGTTTTGGGGCCACATCCAGTGGTGCTCAGGGATTATTTCTGGTTCTTGCTGAGGGGTCACTCCTGGTTAGTTTGGGGGACCAACCATATCGGGTGCCAGGGATTAAATTTGGGTCAGCACTGTGCAAGGCAAAAACCCTACACATAGAGCAGGGTTTCTTAAACTTTTTCTACTTGCAACCCCTTTTTTGTCTGAAAAATTTATATGTGACTCTGAGTATATAGGTATATAAAATAAGTAACCCACTCAAACATTTGCTGATAAAAAATTATAAAAGAATTGGGGCCAGAGAGATAGCACAGCAGGTAAGGCTCTTGTTTTGTATGTGGCCAACCAGAGTCCAACCTCAGGTATCCCATATGGTCCCCCAAGCACTGCCAGGAGTAACCCCTGAGCATTGCCGGGTGTGACTCCAAAACAAAAACAAAAAATGAATTTTAAAAAATTTTTTTAAAAAGTATTATTTTGATTTGTTTTTGTTTCTGGGCTTCACTTGGCAGTGTTTTGGGTACTATGTGGTGCTGGGGGTGGAACCCAGGCCTATTGCATGCAAAGCATTCACCCAGCCCTTCACACTATCTCTCTGGCTCCAAGAAATTTATTTTAGGGGCCAGAGAGATAGTATAGCAGACAGGGACATTGCCTTGGATGAGCTGACATGGGTTCTATCTCTAGAACCCACTATAGTCCCCTGAGCTCTCCAAGGAGTGATCCTTGAGCACAGAACCAGGGGTAAGCCCTGAGCACCACTGGGTGTAGCATAAAACCTAAAAAAAAAAAAAAAAAAAAGATAAGCAGGTTTATTTTAAAAGGACCTCATTCATTTTTGTAACACTGTTCGGGGTCACAGCCCACAGTTTGTAAGAAGGAACCCTCTAAAGTGTTTCACTTGGGCTGGAGCAATAGCACAGCAGGTCGGGCGTTTGCCTTGCACGCAGCCGACCTAGGTTCGATTCCCAGCATCCCATATGGTCCCCCGAGCACCGCCAAGAATAATTCCTGAGTGCATGAACCAGGTGTAACTCCTGTGCGTCGCAGGGTGTGACCCAAAAAAAGCAAATAAATAAATAAAAATAAAGTGTTTCACTTAAGTGGGCAATTCCATCCCTTAAGATACTGGAACAATCCTAGGGAGGTCATAGATTTGGATGCTATTGTTGGGCATTTCCTATATGCTTAAAGAAGATAGATTTCCATTGGGGTGCTGAAGTGTTTTATTTTCCTTTCTGAAGGCTTTTATAGGGGCCAGGGAGATGGCTCAGTGGGTTGTAGTGCCTGCTTTGCATGCAGGATACCTGGGTTTGATTCCCAGAACTGCATGGCCTATGAGGACTTCCAAGAGCAACCAGGAATAACCTCTGAGCACTGCTGGGTATGTGGCCCAAAATCCACAGTTGGGGAGGCAGAAGGCCAAAGAAGTTTGGTAACCTCTGCTCTAGAGTGTTAACTGTCCCATCCTGGTATGTGCACTCACTCCCTGGTGTCAAGGTGTGATCATGGCACAGCTGGGTGGAGGAGAACCATAAGGAGATCTGTGCGTGGAGTGAAATGTCCAGCCACAAGCACGTGAGGTGCCTCATAGGGTGTAGGGCAAAGAAAGAAGAGGGCTACCTCCTTTGGTATGCAAGTCCTTAATCTTCCAGGTATTAGACATCAGAGTGAGAGTTAGAACTCAGTGAGATACTCATTTTCAGGCTATACGACCCCAAAAGTCACTGAGTTTTGGTTTTTATTTTATTTGTTAGTTTTACTTTTTGGGTCACACCAGCAATGCTCAGGGGATACTCCTGGCTCTGCACTCAGGAATGATTCCTGGTGGTGCTCTGGAGACCATATGGATGCTGGGAATTGAACCTGGGTCAGTTGTGTGCAAGATCAGTACCCTCCCCACTGTACTAATGCTCCAGTCCCCCAAAAGTCACTTTTTAACTTAAGCACTTTCAGAATTTTTTTTTTGGGGGGGGGTCACACCTGGCGATGCACAGGGGTTACTCCTGGCTCTGAACTTAGGAATTATCCCTGGCGGTGCTCAGGGGACCATATGGCATGCTGGGAATCGAACCCGGGTTGGCCACGTGCAAGGCAAACGCCCTACCCACTGTGCTATCGCTCCAGCCCCCAACATTTTCAGAATTTTTTAAGTATTGTTGATATACCGTACCTCTCAGGATTGTTGGAAAGGCTGAATAAGGTAATATGGATCAAAATTTTTGCAAAGTTAAGATACCTAAATAATGCCTATTTTTTTCTTAATGATGTCTTTAAAAAGTAAAAGAATAGATTTACTTGGACTCTTACCATTAAGGGGGAAAAATCTTTATCAAGCAAATCCTCAGGGGGAAAATGCTGCTTTATCCTTTTTTTTTTTTTTTTTTGGTTTTGGTTTTGGTCACGCCTGATGGTGCTCAGGAATCGTTTGTTCCTAGTGGTGCCTGGAGGACTATATGGGATTCTAGGGATGGCACCAGGTCAGTGGCATGCAAGACAAGTGCCCTGCTCACTATATTATCTCTCTGGCCCATTTTTTAAATTATTATTATTATCTTTTTTACGGGCTGGAGCAATAGCACAGTGGTAGGGCATTTGCCTTGCACGCAGCCAACATGGCCGACCCGAGTTCGATTCCTCCGCCCCTCTCGGAGAGCCCGGCAAGCTACCGAGAGTATCTCGCCCGCACGGCAGAGCCTGGCAAGCTCCCCGTGACGTATTCGATATGCCAGACACAGTAACAACAAGTCTCACGATGGAGACGTTACTGGGCCCACTCGAGCAAATCGATGAACAGCGGGAGGACCCTGACTGTGATCTTTTTTTATAAATTGTAAAAGTTTATTTGCACATTTTTCAGTTGGAACCAGGCAGGACCATACCAGGTGTCGTGAGAAGGGTCCTCCTCTGAGAGAGTGAGGGCAGGTGTGGGGGAAGTCAAGAAGTGTCGTCGGCATGCGCACCTGTGACAAGGCGGGGGTAGGTCGGGTGCTGGAGGTGCAGAGCTCCTGCATGATGTGGGCACTAAAGTCCTGCCAGACTCATTAGTGCTGTCATCTCTGTGCACCTGACACTCACTTGCTCTGCAGGCCATGGGGGCTGGCCCTACTCCCTGAGAGATTGGGGAGCCATGATTCTGAGACAGAGACAGGTCTGCTCTCTAGGAAAAGAAGTTAGCAGCAGTCCCACAGGGTTTAAGCTTTTCACTGCAGGAAAGAATTTGAGAGGATGAACCGTGAAATAAATCACCTTATTGAATGTTAGCCTAAATCGTTTTATTTAAAGTTTTTTCAAGTCCCTGCTTACCTAATAGGGACTACTTTCATGGAAGGGGTTTTGTTGTTTTTTTGCTTTTTGAGGTTTTTTTTGGGGGGGAGTGGGTGTTTTTTTTTTTTTTTTTTTGGTTTGGGTTTTTTGTTTTTTGTGTTTAGGCCACACATGGCAGTGCTCAGGGTTTACTCCTGGCTCTGTGCTCAGGGATCATTCCTGCTGGTGGGCTCTGGGGATTTTATAGGATACCAGGGATCGAACACGGATCAGCCACATGCAAAGCAAGCAAGCGCTCTATCTGCTGTACTGTCCCTCCGGTCCCTCAGCTTCCATAGTTTTGGTGCCAAGTACTGATTTTTAACATTTTCTCTTAACATGAAATGTAAACCACCATTTCATTATAATCTTGGTAATCTTCTTAGTAAATAAGTGACATTTATTAAAAACACTTTTTTTAAATTTCTTATTAGTGAATCATCATGAGGTACAGTTACAGTCTTACTATCGTGCTTGCTAAAAACACTATTTTTTAAAAAAAACATTTACAGTGTTTTTGTTGGCAACCTTTACTTTCTTGGTTTGTACAACCCTGCAAGTTAGACAAGTTTTTTTGGTTTTTTTGGGGGGGGTTTTGGGGTTTCAGGTGGTGCTCAGGGCTTACTCTCCTGGCTCTTTACTTGGGAATCACTTCTGTCAGGCTCAAAGACCATATGTGGTGTGGGAGATTGAACCCAAGTTGGCCACATGCAAGACAAGTGCCTTACCTTCTGTATTATAGCTCTATACCTTTTTTGTTTTTGTTTTTGTTTCTGGATTTTTTATGGTTGTTGGGCCCTACCTGTCAGTGCTCAGGGGTTCCTCCTGGCTCTGCACTCAGGGCTCAGTGATCACTCCTGTTGGGGCTTTCAGGTGCCATATGTGGTGCCACGGATCGAACCTGGGTCAGCTGCATGCAAGGCAAGCACTCTACCTGCTGTAGTGTTGGCTGGCCCCAACAAGTTAGACAGGTGTTTTGTTTGTTTTGTTTTAGGACCATACCCAGTTATGCTCAGGGGTTACTCCTGGCTCTGTACTCAGGAATCACTCATGGCAGTGCTTTGGGGACCACATGGGATGCTGGGGATCAAACCCCAGTCAGCCACGTGCAAGGCAAGCATTTTACCCACTGTACATTCTCTCTCTCCTCTCTCCTCTCTCTCTCTCTCTCTCTCTCTCTCTCTCTCTCTCTCTCTCTCTCTCTCTCTCTTTCTCTCTCTCTCTCTTTCTCTGTGGCCCCTGGACAGTTTTTTATCCCCATATTTACACTTAAGAAAACTGGTATATTGGGGCTGGAGCAGTAGTGCAGTGGGTGGGGCATTTGCCTTGTTTGTGTATGTGGCCAGCCCGGGTTTGACCCCTGGCAACGCACAGAGCGCTGAGCACTGCTGAGTGTGGCCCAAAACGCACGCAAAAACCCAGAAAAAGGAAACTGGTATAGAATATATTGGGACCGTGGATATAGCTCCACTTAGAGTATTTCCTTGCTTGTTGGCTGCCTGGATCCTCCCCACAAATAATGTGTGTGTGCATGATTTACAGCTTTAAAGTGCATTTTGCCGATGCTGACTTTCGCTTCTCACATTCTGCTGATGAGTCAAATTACATCATATCAACTGATGATTTTTTTCTTTCATTAAATGTTATTTTACGAGTGAGAAAATATTGTATTGTTTATTTTTCATGTATATCCACCTTTTTTTCCCCACAGGAAAAAAAATTGTAAGCAGTGGTTAGTAAAATACTTGTTCCTAGATAATTCATCTCGCCAGATTTCTTAAAACAAAGAGCTAGTCTTAATGAGTAAAACTTGTTAGTCTGGACTAATGGCCTGTTCAGTTGCTTATCAGATTTTTCCTTTTTTTCCTCTTTTTTTGTTTATTTTATTTTTATAAAGTTGTTCACAATAACTTGTTACATTTAATATTCCAACATCAATTCCACCACCATTATACCTACTCACCAGCATATTTTGTATTCCACCATATTTCCACCCCGACCCCCAAACCCTGCCCCCAAAGCAGTACCTAAATCATTTCTTTTGTATTGTTTGTTATAAATAATCCACTAAAAATGATCCCAAAAATTTTTCTTAGAGGAAAATATGTGAAGATTGTTGTATTTCATCCCGGAGTCATTAAGCCCTTATGTATAAGAATGAGATGTCATGCAGATTTTTCCCTTTTTTCCCCTCTGAAAAGCAATTGGTCCTCCCCCTGGCAGTATTGATTTTGTTGAAGCTGGGCATGAGTGGAAACATACTTTAGAGTATAACTTGTGAACGTGAACCATATGGGATGCTCTGAACCTTCAGGTACAAGACCATCGGAAGTTTCTTAATTGATAGAAACATGTGAAGTCTGAACTTAGTGAGGGGGCTGGAGCGATAGTACAGCAGGTAGGGCATTTGCCTTGCACACAGCTGACCTGAGTTCGATTCCCAGCATCCCCCCGAGCACTGCCAGGAGTAATTCCTGAGTACAGAGCCGGGAGTGACCCCTGTGCATTGCTGGGTGTGACCCAAAAAGAAAAAAAAGTCTAAACTCGGTGAAATTAATATAACACAACTATTAGAAGCTAGGTATACTGTTTTGCTGATGATCTTTTATGATGATAATGTTTATTTATGTTATTATTATACTACAGCAAGTATATTTAAAAGTTCCTATTTTCTTTTGATCCCATAGGATGTAGATGATTTCTTTGAGCATGAACGAACATTCCTTTTAGAATACCATAACCGAGTTAAGGATGCATCTGCTAAATCTGATAGGATGACAAGATCCCACAAAAGTAAGGTTTTTCTTATGGCTATAGCTTATATTTTTTAGCTGAATAATGATGGAGATTTTATGTTCTATACAATTTGAGGAAGTTGTGATGTAGAACAGAGATTCTCAACCTGTGGACTATGTATGTATGAAACCTTGAAAATCCAAGACCCTCTTTAGGAAGTCTGTGAGTTTAAACTTTTTTTTTTTTTTCAGCTAAAGATGTACTTGATAAAACAGTAAATTATCTATTATACTAAACCTCCTTGGAGCACACATTTTAAAAGGTATTCTAGGTGATGAGTATTTTAAAAAATAGTTTAAAAATACTTTGAAAAAATATGCCTACATACAGCTCTTGGCTACATTTTGATATATAACTGACTGAGTTGGGGCTGAACCAGCTGCTTTTCTCATAAAACACTTTTGAAAGATCAACTAAATAAACAAGTTTAAAATAAGTTTTTCAGACTTGAGTGTTTGGTAAATATTTTCTCAGAAATTAATGGAGCCTGTCACTTCAGTGAAAACTGATAATATTTGTTGACAATGGTAAAATTCACTTTTCAGCAATATTTAGAATTCTGGAAAATATCCATCACCAGGAGCTCACTTCCCAGTAGTTAAAAAGTCTTCTGAGGATTACTGATAAATTCAGTATAAAGTTCTTTTTATGATTTCTACTAGGACGCTGATATTATATGTCAGTTTTGAGGAGTATTGCATAATTCATTAGGTCAATATTCTCTCCCTTTATGGAGGGATAAAGGTCTCCTAAGAAACTCAGGAGCCACTCCCTGTGATACTCAGCCAGCTGAGCCTTGGTTTTGCTAGTGTTTAAGGATACAGTGATATTTATCCCCTCTAGTGTTGAGACCTCCAGGTCTGCACCCAGTGATGCTCAGATGGTCATGTGTTCTAGAGATTAAACCTGGGTAATGTTGCCCTAACCTTTGTACTATTTCCCCAGCACTGAACCAGTACTTACTTTTTTTTTGGGGGGGGGTCACACTCGGCAATACACAGGGGTTACTCCTGGCTCATGCACTCAGGAATTACTCCTGGCAGTGCTCAGGGGAACATATGAGATGCTGGGAATCGAACCCGGGTCGGCCGCGTGAAAGGCAAATGTCCTACCTGCTGTGCTGTCGCTCCAGCCCCAGAACCAGTACTTTCTAAGTGGTGTTACAAAGTCATGTATATAAAATTCCTTCAGAGTTTACAGGGGTAGAGAGGCCAGAGCGATAGTACAGCAGGTTGAGCATTTGCCTTGCAAATAGCTGATCCAGGTTTAATCCCTGGCATCCCGTATGGTCCCCCGAGCACTGACAGGAGTGATTCCTGAGTACAGAGCCAGGAGTAACCCCTGAGCAATGTCTGCTGTGACCAAAAAAAGCCTAAATAAATAAAGTAGGGGATGGAGAGATGATGTGATGGTTAGGGTGCTTGCCTTGAATGTGGCCAACCTGGGTTTGATTCCTGCCACCACATCAAGTACTGTCAGGTACAAAGCCAGAAGTCAACCCTGAGAATCACTAAATATGATCCCCAAAACAAACAAAAGTTTTCCTTGTGGCCCTTTGTTATTCTTCCTTCTATCTCTTCAGGCATTTGCTGATCTCCTTCCTTATAGATTGGTTTGCATTTTCTAATGTTTGATCTTGAAACTAAATAAAATTATTATGGAATTTATCCATGTTGTGTGTATTGATTGTTCTTATTCATATATTTTTGTTGTGAGTGCTATTCTATCCTATGGATATGCCAGGCAGCTATTTGTGAACTACATTTTGGTTTGTTGGGATGTTGGGATGTTCATCGTAAGTCTGACATGAATCATTAGTTTATGTCTTAATATAGATATATGCTTTCATTTCTCTTGTGTAACACATAGATTAGATATGACTGGGTCATGAAGTAAATATATATTTTAAATATTTTTAAACTGGCGGGTCCTTTTTGGGGTGGGAAAATAGTCCACACCCAGCAGTACTCATGGCTTGCTAATGACTCTGCTCAGGGATCTCTCCTTGCCATGTTCAGGGGTCCATGTGTGGTGCTGAGGGATGATCTGGTGTTGATAACATGCAGAGCAAGCACCCTAATCCGTACTGTCTTTCTTGCCCAGGATAAATTTTAGTGGAAATTAAAATATATGTATATATATTCCAGCTCCCGGAATGCTGAATATATATTCCAGCATTCGCGGCCGCGCGACATCTTATTATGACATCTCATTCCTACTTGACAAACTGGCAGGCTACCGAATGTAGCCTGCCCACACGGCAGAGTCTGGCAAACTCCCCGTGGCGTACCCAATATGCCAACTACCAGTAACAATGATGGGTCTCATTCTCCTAAAGAGCCTTGAATATAACCTCAGGGCCAGGATGAAGGAGACGTTACTGGGGCCTGCTCGAGGCAATCGATGAATAACAGGATGATTTGTGATTTGTGATATATATGAAACTTAATGCAAACAAATACGAAAAGTTTATTGGTAAATTTTAGATTGCCAATCTAAAAACCTCTTAAACTATTACTGCTTAAATTTTGGAGTGGTATTAGAGTGCCTTAGAACATAGCAAATCTGAAAATATTAGTAGAATATTTAGTAGAAATTGGAGATTGAAGAGGCAGTACAGCAGGTAGGACACTTGTCTTGCATCCTGCCATCCCAGGTTGTTCCCCAGCATCCCACACGATCCTCCAAGCACTGCTAGGAGTAATTTCTGAGTACAGAGCCAAGAGTAACCCCTGAGCATCACTGGGTGTGGTTCCACCACCCCCCCCCCCGCAAATACTTACAAAATATCTCTTGCTTTCCTAGCTACATAATTGAATCTGGATTTCTAGATATACTTGAATTAAAACAATTATTTTTCTGTAGATTGAATGTAGAAGCAAATAAAAAACACAGGCCACCTTTTATTACATCAGACACAAAGGAGATTTGTGGCAAATGTGAAAAAGTGTCAGCAAAATCGTTTTCTGGGGGGCTGGAGTGATAGCACAGCGGGTAGGGCGTTTGCTTTGCACGCAGCCAACCTGTGTTCAATTCCCAGCATCTCATATAGCCCCCCCAAGCACTGCCAGGAGTAAATCCTGCGTGCAGAGCCAGGAGTAACCATTGAGCATCACCGGGTGTGGACCCCTCCCCCCAAAACAGAGCAAAAAATTTTTAAAAAATCTTTTTCGGGTCCTCAGTAATTTCTAGAGTGTAAAGGTGATCTAAGACCACACTGCTTGAGAACGTCTGATACAGGGACAAATAAGAGCTGCCTATAAATATAAATCTTCATTTTGGAGCATTATTAAGCGCACAGCTGAAAGAAGGAAGTAAAGGTACCTGGCTTGATAACATCTATTCTTGTTTTGTTGGGTTTTTTTTTTTGTTTTTTGGGTCACACCCGGCAATGCACAGGGATTACTCCTGGCTTTGAACTCAGAAATTACTCCTGCCAGTGCTCAGGGATCCAAATGGGATGCTGGGAATCAAACCCAGGTCGGCCACAAGGCAGACGCCCTACCTGCTGTGCTATCACTCCAGCCCCTGAAATAGTAGTTTTATATGCCTTTTTTTATAATTAAAAAATTGTAAAAGTATGGGAAATTTTAATTCCTTCCTAGGATCATTACTGATTATTTCAGAATTGTGGGCAAGTCTCTAAATTCCCTTCTGTTGGTTTCCTTACTAATAAAATTACATTAAAAATAAAATACCCTTTATCTGTGCCAGAGAGATAGTTCAATGGACTGAGTACAAGTATTGCTTCCACATGTTCCAGCTTTGACCTCAGCCCCTCAGGGCCCCTTAAGAGAACCAAGCTAGGAGTTAACCCTTGAGTGCTGCCAGGTGTGACCCAACACCACCCCCCAAATCCCCAGCAACAACTAAATTCATTTTAGAACCTGTGGGGGTGGGGAGCACTTGCCTTTCACACAACTCACCCAGTTTTAATCTTGCATTCCATATGGCCCCCAAGCACTACCAAGAGTAATTCCTGGTGCAGAGGCAGGAGTAACCCAGGAGGATCTCTGGGAGTGACCCAAAATCCAAACAGACAAAAACCTATGGAGTCCAGAAAGATAGCACAGAGGGTAGGGTGCTTGTCTTGCACATGGCCAACCTAGGTTCGATCCTTGTCATCCCAAATGGTCACCAAGCCTCACCAGGAGCAAAGAACCAAGAGTGACCCCTGACACTGCTAGGTGTACCCCAAAGCCAAAATATGAAATGAACTGTGAATTGTTGAGTTAATTATGACCTGTAAGTAAGTAAGTAAGCAAAGGCCCTCCCGTTGATCATCGATTTGCTCGAGCGGGCCCAGTAACATCTCCATTGGAGACTTTGTTGTTACTGTGTCTGGCATATCGAATACATCACGGGGAGCTTGCCAGGCTCTGCCGTGCGGGTGAGATACTCTCGGTAGCTTGCCGGGCTCTCCGAGAGGGGTGGAGGAATCGAACTCGGGTGGGCCATGTTGGCTGCATGCAAGGCAAACGCCCTACCGCTGTGCTATCGCTCCAGACCTGTATCATTCATAAATGTTTTATGTCAGCCATTATATTAGATATTGGTGATTTCCAGATGGAGAAAAAATATATATTCTTTTTTATTTTTTGTTATTTCGGGTCACTCTGGCAGTGCTTATGGCTTACTCCCAGCTCTGTACTCAAGGATCACTCCTTGTGGTACTCAGTGGATCATTTGCAGTGCCAGGGATCGAGTCCAGGTTGGCTGCATGCCCATTACTCCCTGTTCTATCTTTTCAGCCCCATGAAAATATATTCTTTAAGTCAGGGAGATAAGTCAAGTGGTGGAGCACATGTCTAGCATCATCTGTGCCCTCCGTTCCATCTCTGTCTCTGCATATTTTACCCCAGCGGAGTCTTCGTTTTTAAGACATTAGTAGCAGTGTCTAGATAGATAGGAAGTGCCAAGCAGTATAATACAGTACATTATGAGGCCAGAGAGGTAGTATAGTGGGGAAGGCGCTTGTACAGTCTCTTCTGTCTCTCTGACCTCATATAAAATTTTGTAGATAAAATTTTACAGAATAGGGGCTGGAGCAGTAGTACAGGGGGTAGGGCATTTGCCTTGCATGCGGCCAACCCAGGTTCAGTTCCTGACCCAAAAAGCAATATGGTTCCCTGAGCACCACCAGGAGTAATTCCTAAGTGCAAAGCCTGGAGTAACCCCTGTGCATTGCTGGGTATGACCCCCCTCTCCCAAAAAAAAGGCAAAAAAAAAAGAATTTTACAGAATAATAAAGGAAAAATGGATTGGCACTTGCCTTGCATGCTTAAGCACAGCTGATATAATCAAAAAAAAAAACAGACAAATGTGCTTATTGTATGAAAAACATTTCAGTATCACTTTGAATTCTGATCAGTAAAACAGTGCAGTTTGTGTATTTTTATGATCATATAATAATGTAATAGCTTAGGAGTAGTGTTTCTCAGACCCAGATGATAGAATCCCGAATTTCAAACTGAAAAATAACTTCAGTAGTGGGCTGGGCAGATAACTCAAAGGTCGGCATGCCTACTTTGCTTGCAGAAAGGACCAGTCAAACATGGCCCCTCAGCACCACCAGGAGGAAACCCAAAACAAACTTTTTAAAATTCAGTATCAATTTAAATGTACTGTGCTACATATGAAGGGGGATTGTTTAAAGGGCTAGAGCATGTGCTTTGCACACAAAATCCCTGACACATCAGGTGTGTTCCATGAAGTCCTTGAGCACTGTGTAAGCAGGTGTGCTCCAAAAACTGAAAAATAGCTTACTGAATGTTAAATACAAAAATCAGTTCTGATTGCTCCCTTTTGATAAAGAACTTGTAAATTATCTGGAGGTGGAAGGCTCTGCTGCTTCTCAGCCAACCCAGCCTGCAGATCAGTGCAAGGGCTAGAGGATGCAGTGCTCTCAGAGACCTCCTGGATCACCCTGGCCTGCTTGGGAGCTTCCAGGGGCCACACTCAGTGGTGCTCGGGGACCTCCAGGGCCACATCAGGTGCCAGGGGTAGATCCGAGGCTGGCTGCCTGCAAAATAAGGCCTTAACTCAGGGGACTATATGTGGTGCCAGGGATCGAACCCAAGTAAGCCACATGCAAGACAAGCAGCTTACCCCCTGGACTATCACTCCAGTCCCTGATATTGAAATTTTTTATTGCTTTGCATTTGAGCACCCAGAAGTAACAGTGTCACATCCATCACCTTCCCAGGCTCTGTAATTGCCTCTCCTGTCCCAGATTTAGAAACAGGTTTCTAAATCCTACTCTCATACTTCATAAATATCATTCAGATTTCTAGTTTCTTTTTGCTTTCACTATTCTCTTAATCCTCATCCTCGGTATCTGACATAACAGTTTTCTAGTTGGTTTTCCTCCTTGCCTTCTTTGTCTCTCCACTTCTAGTCCTTATACAAGATAGAAGTGTGTTTTGTCTTGATGCCAAGGATCAAATTCAGAATTTAAAAAATTTGAATTAGATAGTTTTTAAAATTTTTATCCACAATGTAATGCTAGGTATGTACTATTACTTGATCTAACACATACACACGAGCACATACCCCCACCCAATTCAAGTAGAAGCGCCACTGGGTTTGACTTTTTTTTTTAAAGTCGATCTTCAGGGGCCAGAGGGAGAGCACAGTGAGGAGGGCATTTGCCGTGCATGGAGCCACCCCGGGTCCAATCCCCGGCATCCCCTATGGTCCCCCTGAGTACCAACAGGAGTGAGCCCTGAGCACAGAGCCAGGAGTAAGCTCTAAGCATCTCTGGGTGTGGCTCAAGAATACAAAAATTAGGGACTGGAGCGATAGTACTGCAGGTTGGGTGTTTGCCTTGCATGCAACCAACCTGGGTTGAATTCCCAGCATCCCATATGGTCCCCCAAGCACCACCAGGAGTAATTCCTGAGTGCAGAGCCAGAAGTAACCCCAGTGCATCATCGGGTGTGACCCAAAAAGCCAGAAAATAAATACAAAAAATAAAAGTCCATCTTCAGCTCTTTGCACCTCTCTCTGCACTCTGCAGTGCCATAGTCCCACTAGGCTCTCTGAATATATTTTGCTCTTTCATATCTTCCTGGACTTTACCATGCCCCTTTAACCAAATACTACCCTCTCCACTTGGCCTGCTGAAGATTTCTTCATCCTGAGACTGGAGAGAGAGCTTAACAGGGTTCTGTCCCCAGTACCATGTGGTACCCCAAGCAACCCCAAGGAGCAGTCCCACCATCACAGAGCCAGGAGTAACCCTTGAGTGCCATTGTAGCCCCAAAACAAACAAAAATGTCTTCTGAGCACCAACTCATTCTGTAGTGTCTAAAACTTGCCCTAACTTCCTCAGGTGCAGTTATCAAATTTTTTCCCTATCCCCAAATACTTCTAATATAATCATCCTTTTGTATTATAGTTGTGTCATTTTCTGTGCTTAGGGTATTATGTTCTATGTTCATTATTTGGCAGGGTGATACTCTTTGAGGTATGTTTTCATAAGTACTTGTGTATTTTTGAATCAAAGAATAAATATATTGAATTCATACTTTTTTCGTAGGTGCTGCTGATGATTACAATAGAATTGGTTCTTCATTATATGCTTTAGGAACTCAGGATTCTACAGATATATGCAAGTAAGAACTCTGATTTAAAAACAAGTATAAAATTTTGTTGACAGCCTGGGTAGCACTGTAGCACTGTCCTCTTGTTGTTCATTGATTTGCTCGAGCGGGCCCAGTAACATCTCCATTGTGAGACTTTGTGGTTACTGTATTTGGCATATCAAATACATCACAGGTAGCTTGCCAGGCTTTGCTGTGCGGGTGAGGTACTCTTGGTAGCTTGCCGGGCTCTCCAAGAGGGGCAAAGGAATCGAACTCTGGTCACCCTACCTGCTGTGCTATCACTTCAGCCTGGGTACACACAGTAATTTCTGTTTTAGTAAGTGTTTTGGAATTTTATCAAGACAGTTGAGATTTGGGGGGCGGGGGGGGGGAACTGTTGAACTTCTTTATAAACTTAAGTCAGTATCCCTTTTTCTTCTCCCTTTCTACACTTATATTTTTATCTTAAAATGAGCCTATAATAGCTTCTCAGAAGGGGGTTTTGTGTTTGTTTTTTGGCTTTGCAAACAGTATTGGATGGGTAGAGGGGGCCATTTCCAGTGCTTTTTGTGCTGGGTAGGATCAGGGCGCCACTAAGGTTTGTTCTTGGGCCTACCAGTGTGGAGCTTCTTAAGCCTGGAGGGATTGTACAGTGCCAGGGATTGAACTTGGAGCCTTCATATGCAAAATGCTCACGCTGACTCATTGAGCTAACTCCCTGACCCTACTTTTATTGTGTTTCATGTGATGAAAATGGGCTAGTTAATGTATGTAAGAGAGAGGTTTGACTGGTTATTTTTGTTAGTTTTGGGACCGCTCCTGGCAGTACTACTCTGGCGAGGTACTCACGGGACATCCTGGTGGGGCTTGGGAGATTTTTCAGTGTTGAGGATGAATCCTGAGCCTCCTGTATGAGGCTCAGTGCAGTGAGCCCTCTCTCCAGCCCTTATGGGTTGTGGGAGTTGTTCATTTGTTTTTTTGGAATAGGGTGGGGAGGATAAAAGGGAAAGGAGGAAAAAAGAGGACAAATCTGGTTCTTATTGTTTTTTAATTTTTGTGTAGTTTTTTGGAGGTTTTTTTTTTTTTTTTTTTGCTTTTTGGGTCACACCTGGCGATGCACAGGGGTTACTCTTGGTTCTGCACTCAGGAATCACCCCTTGCGGTGCTCAGGGGACCATATGGGATGCTGGGAATCGAACCTGGGTTGGCGCGTGCAAGGCAAACACCCTACCCGCTGTGCTATTGCTCCAGTCCCCAGGTTCTTACTGTTTTGATTTTTGGTCCACACCTGCAATGCATAAAAGCTTGGTGTTTGGGGGATTATGCATTGCCAGGGATCAAACCCTGGGCCTCTTTCATGTAAAGCTGGTGCCTAACATAGTTGTTGGGCTGTCTCTAAACATGAGAAAAATGTGTTTTAAAATATTGGCAGGTTTTAGGGGGCTAGAGCGATAGCACAGCGGGTAGGGTGTTTGCCTTGCACGCAGCTGACCCGGGTCCAATTCCCAGTGTCCCATATGGTCCCCCGAGCACTGCTGGGAGTAATTCCTGAGTGCAGAGAGTGCAGAGCCAGGAATAACTCCTGTGCATCGCCGGGAGTGACCCAGAAACCAAAAAAAAAAAAAAAATATATATATATATATACACACACACATATATATGGGGGGGCAGGTTTTAATAGTTAATCATAAATAAATGCTATTTTAGAATTAGAATAAGTATGTATGCATTTATTGGAAGCTAGAATGATTTTTTTTGGTTTCAGGGTTTTTTTTTGTTTGTTTGTTTGTTTGTTTTTTCAGGGGAGGTGTTTGTTTTTTGCTATACCTGGAGATGGTCTGGGGCTGCTCCGTAGTGCTTGGGGGTTGCTTCCCAAAGTGGTAGGGGACCATGTGATCAAATCCGGATCTCCTGCACGCAAACTATGTGCTCAGCCATTAAGTTCAATTCTTGGCATCCCAACCCTCAAGCACTGCTGGGAGTAATTACTGAATGCAGAGCCAGGAATTTTAGTCTTGAAAATTCATCGCTGGGTATGACCCAAAAAGCCAGAAAGAAAACAGAAAAGTTATCGGGGGGGGGGGGGGGTCAGAGATAATACAGTGTTTTTAGCACTTGCCTTACATATTATCAACCCCAGTTTGATCCCCAGCACCACATATGGTCTCCCAAGCTCTGTCAGGAATATTCCCTGAGCTCAGAGCCAGGAGTAAGCTCTGAGCACCTCTAGGTATTGCCCAAATTTAAAAGTATTTATTTATTTATTTTGCTTTTTGGGTCACACCTGGCAATGCACAGGGGTTACTCCTAGCTCTGCACTCAGGAATTACTCCTGGTGGTGCTCAGGGGACCTTATGGGATGCTGGGAATCGAACCCAGGTTGACCACACACAAGGCAAATGCCCTACCCGCTGTGCTATCACTCCAGCCCTAAAATTTAAAAGAATTTAAATGAAGGGCCAAAGATATATAATTCAGGAGCTAAGACACTTGCTTTGTAAGTACCTAACCCCAGTTCAAACCCCAGCACCCACAAATGGTCCCCTGAGCACCAGAAGTGGTTCCTGAGCACTGCCATGTAGGGCCCCAAAACAAAACAAAAACTAATGAATGGCTTAGACTATTGTCTTGAAACTGCATGATTTTCTGTAATCATTTTGTTGAATTAATTGAAGTCTATCATGAATAAGACCATCAAAGAATGCTCTTTATTAATCTTGTTTAGGGTATATTCTCTGAATATTTGAATGAGAAAATAATTTCAAACTTCTAATGAAATTCTTTTCCTTTTCAGGTTTTTCCTCAAGGTTTCAGAATTGTTTGATAAAACAAGAGTAAGTACTATTAATTCTTTAGTAGTCTAAATCTTTTATACAGTGGTGTTTAACTTGTAACTATGTATAATTTTTTTGAGTAAGATTATATTTCGAAATAATAGAGGCAGATTTAAAATTGAAATTAAAATTGGGAAGTGAGGGGTTGGGCCTTTTTAAAAAAAGGCTTAAAAAAATTGGGGGACTTCAGAGAAGACTTAAAGGGCTAGAGGCCAAGACTCAGGTTTAATCCCTTACACATTGCATAGTCTTCTGAGCACTGCCAGGTATGGTTGTACAATCCCCTCCAAAAAATGATAACAGGGCTAGGGAGATAGTATAGCAATAAGGTGCTTACCTTACATGCAGCTAACCCAGGTTTAATCTCTGCCACCCCAGATGGTCCCCAGAGAACTGCCAGGAGTAATTCCTGAGTGCAGAGCCAGGAGTAACCCCTGAGCACCTCCAGGTGTGGCCCACAAACAAACAGACAAACAAAAATCTGATTTCAGAGAAATAGGGCAGCAGGTAAGGTGCTTGCCTTGCATGTAGCCAATCCGAGTTCAATCCTTGGTAACCCATATGGTTCCCCTAGCTCTGCCACTTGTGATCCCTGCATACAGAGCCAGGAGTAAGTCTGAATACCACAGCGTGTGACCCAAAAACCAAAAATAAAAAAGAAATCTGATTTCAGCAACGTGTCAATTGAGTGATATATTAGTGAAGACAAGATGAAATCAAATGGGACAGGAGAGATAACGTAGTAAGTAGGGTAGGACAGTTGACTTGCACATGGCCTATCCTGGTACCACATAGGATGTCTTGAGCAATGTTGGATATGGCCCCTACCTTATCCCCCAACAGAACCTAAAAAAAAATTAAAATGCATAGTCACTTATAATTGTTTGGTTCATCATTCATTTCATCATATTTTATTTTTTATCATTTACCAAAAAAATAGGAAAGTAGGAAGGACCCCAGGATAAAATATGTTGTCAGTGGTAGTTAAGGACTGGTAAAGACTCCATGAACTCCCACAGGGAATGGACATCAGAGTATTCTGACAACCTGAGTAAGATAGCTGTCAGACTGCATCTCGACCCATCCTGTCTTCTCAGTGAGGCAGCTGGCCCTTGCTGTTAGTGAACCCAAGTGCAGGACCCAAGTGCAGGTGCTCGCTGCTTAGTGGCCAGTTCCTTGAGAGACAAGTAACTGCTTGATGTAGAAAAAGTTTTCTTTGGATGCTGTCAACCTGAAAAAAATTTCTTGTGCCCCCCCCCCCACCCCCCCAATTCATCTTACTCTCACTTTGGTGCTAGGGGGTTATGTAGAGCTGGTTGGGAAAGTAAGTTAGAAGAAATTCATGGTTCTGGACAGGGTAGAAGGGAGTCCTATTTCAAGGCAGTCCAGACTGGCATGGTGATTAATGAACCTGGAGGAAGGTGGCCTAATTCTTGTGAAACTTGGCGACAACGTGGGCAAAGTGCTTTCCTTCTCTGAGGTCTGCGTGACAACTTTGGTAGTCTTCCCAGAGGGCCTGGTGTCTGCTCTGTCCATAATGGGACCTGGTTTATCAATAAATTTGTAAGGCCTGAGGGCATCTCTTAGAATTGAGAGATAGGGCAAAGATCAGGATGAAACCATTGGTTGTAAAAAGTACATATTTGAGGAGCAGACTTGGGTCTAATACTTGCTTATTTATACTTCCATCCCACTTTTCAGCTTTTGTGGTTTTCTGGCTGAATCATAAAACCTTACAGATTTTAAGACCAGAAGAGTTCTCGCATTCAATAAAATGTAGTAGAACTGGCAGAGTTAGAACTGAAGCATGTGAAGCTAGTGTCATTAAAGGTTATGCTTTTCAGGAAAAGGAAAGTTAGGGGCTAGAGCCATAGCACAGCAGGTAGGGCATTTGCTTGCACACGGCAGACCCGGGTTCAATTCCCAGCATTTCATATGGTCCCCTGAACACCACCGGGAATAATTCCTGAGTTCAGAGCCAGGAGTAACCCCTGTGCATTGTCGGGTGTGACCCAAGAAAAAAAAAAAGAGGAAAGATAATCCCAATTTTCATAGGTTCCAGGTTTCTTATTTTTCATTGCAGAAAATAATTTTCAGAGAAAATAGTGAAATAAAATAGTTCAAAGAAAATATGAGAGGATCAGAGAGATAGTACAGGGGTTAAGGTGCTTGGTTTGTGGCCGACCAACCTTGGTTCAATCCCCAGTACTACATATGATCCCTGCTAGCTCTACCGGAGTCACACCTGAGCACAGAGCTGGTATAACCTGGTATGGCCCCAATACCCAAAAAGTAAATTCAGAATTATTCTCTCAGCTGCCTCTCAGTCTTTGGGCACAGGGTCATTTCTAGGGGCTTGACTGTCAAGAAGACTGGTGGTCTCTTTAGGTTGGGTCCTGGCCTTTATCCTTAGCTAGGAATAGGCTACTCCTTTTCAGACTGTTTTATTGTCTCTCCAAACATTCCTTGGTTTTAGTGACTCTCTGAAGTTTACTGCTAAGGGGCTCTACTTCCTTACTTCCCATCTCAGTGGAAATGGATATTGTTATAATTGACATTTTTATAATAATTAGGAAAGAAAACGGTTATTGTAAATACTGAGTAATTACCCAATTCCCCCACACACACTTTTTTTTTTTCCAGAAAATAGAAGCACGAGTGTCTGCTGATGAGGACCTCAAACTTTCTGACCTTTTAAAATATTACTTAAGAGAATCTCAAGCTGCTAAGGTACCTTTATTATTTTGTTTTATTTTTAAAAATGGGCTGTCACTGTCACTGTCCTCCCATTGTTCATTGATTTGCTCGAGCGGGCCCGGTAACATCTCCATTTTGAAACTTGTTGTTACTATGTTTGGCATATCGAATATGTCACAGGTAGCTTGCCAGGCTTTGCCAGACAGGCGAGATACTCTCGGTAGTTTGCCGGGCTGGCGTTTGCCTTGCATGTGGTCAACCTGGTTCGCCCAGGTTCAGTTCCTCCACCCTTCATGGAGAGCCTAGAAAAATAGGCTATTTTAACAAAAAAAGCAATCTGAGAGCAGGCACACATCACCAAATAAATAAAACCATTTATTTTGAGATTGTTACACTTAAGATTGTTAAAAAATGATTTATTCTTGGAGGCTAGAGAGCCGACATTTCCCTTGCACGTGGCCAACCTGGGTTTAATCCCAGGCACCCCATTTGGTACCCTAAGCCATCTCCATGAGTAATCTCTGAGCACGGAACCAGGTGTAAGCCCTGAGCACCACTGTGTATGGCCCCAAAACAAATATACAGAGGTTTAGGTGCTTCTCTTTCTCGTGGATAGCCCTGATACAATCTCTGACACTGCATATGGTCCTTTGAGCACTGCCGGGTATGGCAAAAAAACTTGATTGTGGGGATACAATGTTAAGGATACTATCACCATTGAATTGTGCACTACAAATTAATGAGTAAACTATGTCTATAAAATTTGAATTAAGTTCCTCCCTACTGGGAGTTTCTTTTCCTTTCTCTTCTACTTTTCATTAAACTTCTACTTCAGATGGGCTAGAGTGATAGCACAGCAGTAGGGCGTTTGCCTTGCGCCCATCAAACTAGTGAGAGTATCTCGCTCGCATGGCTAAGCCTGGCAAGCTACCCGTGACTTATTCGATATGCCAAACACAATAACAACTAATCTCATGATGGAAACATTACTGGACCCACTCGAGCAAATCGATGAACAACGGGAGGACAGTGCTACAGTGCTACTTCACACTGTCACTGTCCTGTTATTGTCCTCCCGTTGTTCATCAATTTGCTCGAGCGGGCCCAGTAACGTCTCCATTGTGAGACTTTGTTGTTACTGTGTTTGGCATATCGAATACATCACGGATAACTTATCAGGCTTTGCTGTGCGGGCGAGATACTCTCAGTAGCTTGCCGTGCTCTCCGAGAGGGGTGGAGGAATCAAACTCGGGTCGGCCGGACCAGCTGCGTGCAAGGCAAATGCCCTACCGCTGTGCTATCCATCCAGCCCAAATATGTCTATAAAATTTATTTTAAGTGTCTGTGGGTGTGACACAGTAGAAAGCATGTCTTGCCTGTATGAAGATCCTATCGCCTGTACTGAAGGGAACAGAGAATACTAGAAAAGTTGAGTGGCATGTGGTAGTCACTGTGTTAGCTCTGATCTTGTTTGGGGGGTTGGGGGTTGCTTGTGGAGTATAATTACTGGGAATGTGCAGCATATCTTACTGTGAAACATTGTTTATAGGATCTCCTCTATCGAAGATCTAGGTCACTGGTGGATTATGAAAATGCTAATAAAGCACTGGATAAAGCAAGAGCAAAAAATAAAGATGTTCTACAAGCCGAGACTTCCCAACAATTATGTTGTCAGAAATTTGAAAAAATATCTGAATCTGCAAAACAAGGTACCAGTATATTAACTTTTGCTATGAGCAAATAAATATGATCCATAGATACGATTTATACTGTTCTGTAAGTTAAGTATGTACTTCCAATTTCTTTCACAGAACTTATAGATTTTAAGACAAGAAGAGTTGCTGCATTCAGAAAAAATTTAGTGGAACTGGCAGAGCTAGAACTGAAGCATGCAAAGGTAATATCATTAAAGATACTTAATTTTAGTTTATAATTAGAATTTGATTTATGAAATTGACTGGGGGCTGGAGTGATAGTACAGCAGGTAAGGTGTTTGACTTGCAGTCGACCCGGGTTTGATCTCCAGCATCCCATATGGTCCCCCGAGCACCGCCAGGCATAATTCCTGGGTACAGAGCCAGGAGTAACCCCTGTGCATCGCCAAGTATTACTCCTGGCAGTGCCACGGGACCATATGGGATGCCAGGATTGAACCCAGGTTGACCACATGCAAGATAAAATGCCTTAACCACTGTACTATCTTTTCTAGTCCCAATGTCTGTTGCTTTCTATGAAGATACAGTAAGAACTGTTTCTGAATTAGATTCAATTTTACAGGATAATTTTACTTCAGTGTGCCAAATATGGGCTGGAGAAATAATACAGTGGGTAGCGCATTTGTTTTGTACACAGCTGACTTGGGCTCAATCCCTAACACCCTAAGTGGTCCCCAAAGCCCACCAGGAATGATCATTCAATGCCGAGCCAGAAATAAACCCTGACCACTGCCAGATGTGACCCCAGAATCATAACCGAAAAAGAGCCAGAGTGGTACTGTAGCAGATAAGGCACTTTCCTTATGTGGAGCCAATCAGAAATCAGTTCCTAGCACCATATAGGATCCCCTGGGAACTGTGAGTGTGACCCAAAAATTTAGGGGAAACAGTGTGTAACCAGCGAGATAGCACAAAGGGCTAGTGCATATGGAAGCCCTAGGTTTGATGCCGAGCACTGTATGGTTCCCTGTGCACTGCTGGGTGTGGTCCCAAAACAGATAAACAGAATACTTGGTTTTATTGGAGAGATAGCACAGCAGGTAGGGCACTTGCCTTGCATGTGTCTGACCAGGGTTTGATCTCCAGCATCTTCTATGACCCCCTGCCATACACTGCTAGGAGTATTTCTTGAGCGCAGAGCCTGAAGTACCCCAGGGCATCTCTGGGTGTGACCCAACAACAAAACACAAAACTTGGGTTTGGAGCTGTGATGTTCCTCAGTTGTACAGTTCTTGCCTTGTATGTATGAGGGTTCAGTCCCCGGCACTGCAATATATATATATATATATATATGTATGTATGTATGTATGTATGTATGTATATAAAATGTATTTGGTTTTGGTGAATAATAAAGTCTCTTTCCATTTGTTTTATAGTATTTTTTTTTACTTTGATTTTTTTTTGGAGGAGTTGTTTTATTTTGGGGCCACACCTGGCCATGCTCAGGCCTTACTCCTGGCTCTGCACTCAGGAATTATACCTGGTGATGCTTGGGGAACCATATGGGATGCTGGGGATTGAACCTGGGTCGGCAGCATGCAAGGCAAGCACCCTACCTGCTGTACTATCCCCCTGGTTTTTTTGTTTTTTTTTTTGCTTTTAATTAAGCCTCCCCCCTTTTTTTCCTGTAGTTTATGAAAGGTAAATTTGACACAACCTTATAGCAATTTTAAAAATAGAGATTCTGAACTGGAGTGGTAGTGGGTAAGGTGGTTGACATGCAGGAGACTGACCTTGAGTCTATCCCCATATCACTGGGTATGGCCCAGAGACAAAAAGTCAGAGATTCTTAGGATCGAAGCTAATTTTCAAGATTATCTTTTCAAGGTCAGAGCAGTAACACAGTGGGTAGGGTGCTTGCCTTACATGCAGTCAACTTGGATTTGATTTCTGGCACCCCATATGGTCCCCTGAGTACCACGAGGAGTGATCCCTGAGCACAGAGCCAAGCCTTATTAATTCCTTGTAAGCCCTTGAGCATCACCAGGTGTGGCCCCTCACCCCCTAAAGCAAAACCTAAAGAAAATAATTTTATTCAAGTTAAAATAATATTCATACTGTCTGTGTGGGTACTTGGCAACTGCATGACCTCCCAGCGCCAAGTCAGGAGTAGTCCGCAAGCACTGTCACACCGTGTCACCCCAAAATCAGTAAATCGGGGCTGGAGCAATTATACAGTAGGTTAGGTGCTTGCCTTGCACGAGGTTGTCCTGGATTTGATCCCTGGCACTACTTACGGTCCCCCAGTCTCCGCCAGGAGTAAGCCCTGAGCACCGCTGCGTGTGGCCCACAAACAAACAAACAAAAATACATAAGTAGAAATTCTTGGCTTACAGTTTTCTTTTTTGTTTGTTTTCTATTTTTGGTTTTTGGGGAACACTTTGCAGTGCTCAGGCCTTACTCTTGGCAGGGCTCGGGGAACCACATGGGGTGGCAGGGATCAAACCCAGATTAGTCACATGCAAGGCAAGCACCTTACCAGTTGCACTATCACTCTTCCATTGAAGTATATTCCAGCCCCAAATGAAATGTTTTAATGGTAATTGTAAGTCACCTTTATAGCTATTAAATTTTGGTATGCATAGCTTTAGTTTAATGCATCAAAATTTGGGGGGGAGGAGGAACTTGGATTTGATCATACAGATTTTGATTATTCAACTAGTTATTTCTTTCAAGCCAGGGACATTTTTTTGGCAGGGGGCTACATACCCAGTGATGCGTAGGGACTGCTTTTAGTTCCGTATCTGGGAATCATTCCTCTAGCGCTAGGGGAGTGTGAAGTGCTTGGGTTAGAGCCCCAGCCTCCTGCATTCAGAGCATGTGCTGTTGCCCATTGAGCTATTATTCTGATCCCAAGTGGTTATGTTCTTTTCATGTCATCATCTAAGTTTGCATTAAGAGATTGATTACTGGGAACAGAGCAATAGTACAGTGGGTAGGGCGTTTGCCTGGCACACGGCCGGCCCTGGTTTGATTCCCAGCATCTCATATGGTCCCCTGAGCACAGCCAGGAGGAACTCCTGAGTGCAGAGCCAGGAGTAACACCTGAGCTTCGCCAGGTGTGACCCAAAAAGCATATAGATCTTAAGAGTCATAAAATAGAAAAACAACCCAAATGTCCATCAGCTACTGTATGGATAAGCAGAATGTGATGAATCACCAGTCAAATGGTACTAAATGATCCGTACAGCATGGATAAGTTTCACATGGATTTTCCTAAGTGTAAGAAACCAAGACATAAAGAAAACAATTGAGAAGTATATAATTTACAGTGAAAGAAAGCTGACAAGTAGAGAAAGAGAAGGATTAGAAGGGGCTCAAGAAGAGTTTGGGGGTGATAGAAATTTTTGTTTTGTTTTGGGGCCATACCCAGCAGTGTTTGGGGACTACTGTGGGCTCTCTGCTCAGGGATCATTCCTGGTGTTGCAGAAAGGGACTGTGCATGCCAAGGATAGAACCTCATCCTCCCTCATGCAAAGCTTGTGCTCAGCCCATTCAACTATCTTTCGACCTCTGGATATTTTGGGGGGAGGGTTGCATAGGGGTTATTCCTTGCCCACACACTCAAGAACTACTCCTGACGGTGCTCGGGGGACCATATGGGATACTGGGGATCAAACCCAGGTCGGCTACGTGCAAGGCAGATGCCCTACCTGCTGTGGTATTACTCCAGCCCCCCTGGAAATACCTTTTATATTAACCGTGGTGGAGTTTTATAGGTGTACAGCTCTGTCAAAAACTCATCTCATTAAAAAGTTGATTTTTAAAAGTAAGTAAGGGCCAGAGCAATAGTACTACAAGTACAACAAGTATTGCTCTGTTCCTAGTAATCAAGTAAGCACTTGATTTGTACTCCACTAACCCAGGTTTGATCCCCGGCATCCCATATGATCCCCCAAGCACCACCAGGAATAATTCCTGAATGCAGAGTCAGGAGTAATCTCTGAGCACCACCATTGTGGCCTAAAAACAAGGGGAAATAAGTAAATAAAAGGTTAATTAGGGCCTACATCTTTAGAACCACATATGAAACTCCAGCACAGCCAGAAGTGATCTCAGAACACAGAGCCTGGAGGCTGAAGCAATAGTACAGTGGGGAGGGCATGTGTACACAGCTGACCCAGGTTGGATCCTCAGCATCCCATATCGTTCTCTGAACACTGCCAGGAATAATTCCTGAGTGCAGAGCCAGGAATAACCCCTGAACTTCGCCGGGTGTGACCCAAAAAAGCCAAAATTTAAAATAAAAGAAACAAAGAACACAGAGCCAGGCATAAGCCCTAAGCACTGCTGAGTGTTGCACTAAAAACAAAATTTTACTAAGCCTTTGTGGGTTTTCTGGTGTTCACTGTTGCACTTTTTTGTATATGTATTTTTTTTTAATCTTTATTTAGGGGCCACACCTAGTGGGAGTACTCGGGGGAGTACTCAGGCAAGTACTCGGGCTACTCCACGCCTGTTCTCAGGGGACATGCAGTGCTGGGTATTGAATCCAGGCCTCATACATGCAAAATTTGCACTCCGTCCTCATGAGTTATCTCTCCCATGCATTTCCCCCCCCCACTTTTTTCCTTTACACATCAGATAGTGTACTGACGTTGCAATGAGATTTGAGGGAGCCATATGCCCACACAGAAACATGTGTTCCCAATCATACATGCTATGAATCACAGAAGGTTCTGCTTTTGCTTTTTCTAAAAAAGATCATAAACTGGGGCCAGAGAGATAATATAGGGGACAAAATATTATCTTGTGTGCAGCTGATACTGGTTTAAACCCTTGGCATATGGTCCCCTGAGCATGGAGCCAGGAATAAGCACTGCACATTGCTGGGAATAGCCCAAAAACCAAAAATTATGGGCTGGAGTGCCTTGTACACAGCCGACCCAGGTTCATTCCTGGGCGCACTTATATGGTTCTCCAAGCCATCCAGGAGTGGTCTCTAAGCACAAAGCCAGGAGTAAGCCCTGAGCACTGCTGGCTATAACCCCCAAAACAAACCAAAACAAAAACTACAAAAAGCACACTTTATATTTTGTTATATGATAGTAAGGGGGTAGCAGTTAGGCCATGTCCAGCAGTGCTTACTTCTGGCTCTGTGCTCAGGGGCACTCCTGGTACAGTTCAGGGGACCATATGCAATGTTAGCGATCGAGCCAGGATCAGCTGCATGCAAGGCAAATTACCTTCTTCTCTGCCCCTCGTAACATGATAGTTTCATGAAATACAAGTTTAATCTGTAAATATGAACACAGGCAGATTCTTTTCGGCTGGAGCGATAGCACAGCGGGTAGGGCGTTCGCCTTACAAGCGGCCAACATGGCCGACCCGAGTTCGATTCCTCCGCCCCTCTCGGAGAGCCCGGCAAGCTACCGAGAGTATTCGATATGCCAGACACAGTAACAACAAAGTCTCCAATGGAGACGTTACTGGGCCCGCTCGAGCAAATCGACGATCAACGGGAGGGCCTTTACCTTTACCTATTAAAGTAAGGCAGAGACCAAATGCTTCTCAAAACCTAAAAAGTTTACTGTTTAAATCTTCGAAAAATGTTTGCTGGGCTCTATGATAAGTTGATACCAGCATTGTTTTTTTCATATCCTTCTGAAATTATTGGTTGGTTGGTTGGTTGGTTTTCTGGGGGCTGGGAGGAAGGGCTCACTCCCAGCAGTGTTCAGAGACTACACGTTTATCTGTGTTCAGGGGCCACTCCTGTCAGTCCTTGCAAACCATAAGCAGAGTTGTGATTCAAACCATTCACAGCCTCAGCCACATGCAAGGCACATGCCTTTATTTCTATACTATCTCTCTGGCCTGCATTTTGGTTTTTTTTGGGGGTGGGGGAATTTGGACCACACCCCCAAACTCCTCAGGATGACTCTTGGCTCTGTGCCCAGGGATCATACCAGGCAGGCTCAGGGAACCATATGGGATGCTGGAGATCAAACCCAGGTTGGCTGTGTTCCAAGCAAGCACTCTGCCCTCTATACTAGCATTCCAGCCCCACTGACCTGCTTTTTTGGATTTTGGGGGGATCATACCTGAAGATTCCTCTCAACTCAAAGCTTAGTAGTTTTCCTAGGAACTGTACCATGCCAATAACTGAACCTGGGCCCTGCCTCATGCAAGGCATGTACTCAGTTCATTGGTGCATATCTCTGGCCCTATGAAATACTTCTATATGCAATTTTAGCTTTTTTAAAATGATAACTGCTGTAAATCTGTACTGAAGTGTTTGTGTATGTAAGTAAGTAAGGTAAAGTAAAGGCCCTCCCGTTGATCATCGATTTGCTCGAGCGGGCCCAGTAACGTCTCCATTGGAGACTTTGTTGTTACTGTGTCTGGCATATCGAATACTCTCGGTAGCTTGCCGGGCTCTCCGAGAAGGGCGGAGGAATCGAACTCGGGTCGACCATGTTGGCTGCGTGCAAGGCAGACTCCCTACCCGCTGTATACATAATATATACACACACACAAAATATTTGGGGGTAGTATTTGGGCTACCCAACTGTGTTAAGGATCATTCTTGGCAAAGCTCAGGGAACCTGTGTGGTATTGGGGATAAAATTAAGTTAACCAGATGCAAAACAAATACCTACTGTACTCTCTTCAGCCTCACTATTTTATTATGCCTTTTTAAATTGAGATGATGAGGGGGTGGGGGTGCTGGAGCAATAGTACAGTGGGTAGGGCACTTTTCTTGCACACGGCCAACGTGGGTTTGATCCCTGGCATCCATACGAGGGTTCTGCCTGGAGAACCCTCAGCAATAGTTTGAGTGTAGAGCCAGGAATTGTACCCCTGTGCATCACGGGATGGGGCCGCAAAACAAAAGTGGCTTTTGAGGGTCAGGAACATAGTATAGGAGGTAGGGCATTTGCCTTGCATACAGCCAACCCAGGTTCCCTGAGATCCCAAATGGTTCCCTGAGCCCACAGGTGTGGCCTGAAACCCCAAAATAATAAAAAAATAAAATGGCTTTTTCCTGAAAGATTCTTCTACATGATTTCTTCCTTGTGAATTTGAACTTCACGATTTATTTTCCCTTCTTTTTTTTAGGGTAACCTGCAGCTACTACAGAACTGCCTGGCAGTGTTGAATGGAGACACATAAGCCACACTCCACCCCCTGGTTACAAAGGGCTGCCTTCCTTCGGATTTCATTTTTGTTTTCTTAATGATGTTAGGCATTTACTGCTCACTGGAAACAAACAGCTGACAAAGTGCATCTACTCTCCTTTCCTTTCTGAGTAACAAGGGAGTGGGGCTGCCCTAAGCGCTGCAGCCCTCAGGAACAGCGTTCTCCCGCGTCAGTGAGCCCGGACCATCTCCCGCAGTCCATCATTGTCGGTCCTGCCTTTCTCCTCCGGGGCCCAAAGCTCCTCCTTTTTTACAGTAGCCTCTGTAACTGTGTTTATTTTAATGAATGGTATTCCTTACGGCTGCCAATCTATTTACCTTTAAGTGATTTCTGAAGTTTAACTCTTTCCAAAATACATTGTTCAAACAAGAGAAAGATTGCTTTTCCTATTTTTTTTTATTTTGTTTTAAAAAAACATTGCATACCACCGCAGATTATTCACGTATCCTGGGAGAGCATCTTAATCAGACTTATTTTTAATTAATGAATATTTCTTAGACATTTTGGGACAGACTTTCTGTAATCTTTCTAAGTATGATTTCTGAAAAGCAGCAAATGCATTATTAGTATGTTTGCCTTAAACTTGTAGACTAAACCAATTATTGTCAAATAAACAGTGATAACAATGATACTTTTTAAACTGGTTCATTGTATCACTTTAAAAATTTGGAGTAGCTATAATAAAATGCTCTGATGTATACTTTACAGTGCAGGTCTTAACGGTTTTTGTGTCTTCTTTCAAAGTGGCATCTTGAACCAAGTTCACCTGTCCTGTACTAAAGAAGGAACTACTTTGCATGCTTTCTGCACTTCATAGATGGTAGAATTTTGTAGAGTCAGTTAAGAGATAACTGTTTCTAGAGGCTGGAGCAGTAGCACAGCAGGTAGGGCGTTTGCCTTGCACACGGCCGACCCGGGTTCGATTCCCAGCATCCCATATGGTCCCCTGAGCACTGCCAGGAGTAACTCCTGAGTGCAGAGCCAGGAGTAACCCCCATGCATCACTGGGTGTGACCCAAAAAGGAAAAAAAAAAGACAGATAACTGTTTCTCAAACACTGGTTTCCTAGAATCCATCCCTAGCTCAGGTGGTGCACCAGGTAAAATGCCATTTGAGCCTCTTGGTAGCTGGCCTGGCCGTGTGTAGGTAATGTGTGAGAAGGCAGACTGCTATAGGATGCAGCTTGGTAAGACTGGAGCTGGGCAAGGTCAGCTATTTGAAATAAAGGAAGATACTAATTGTCAACTGTTGTTGCAGATGTTACTGGGTTCTCTAATATGAATGATCAAGACATAATTTCTAGTCTCAAATTACACTGGAAGACTGGAGAAAGATAGCACAGGGGTACCTTGGTTCCCTAAGCACTGTCAGGGCTCACTTCTGAGCACCAGCACCACTGGGCGTGGCCCCAAGAAGCAAAGTCAAAACAAAATTAGACTGGAATTTGGTTTTTATTTTTATTTTTTGTTTTGGGGCCATACCTGGTGGTGCTCAGGGGTTCCTTCTGGCTCTGCACTCAGAAATCACTCCTGGTGGTGCTTGGGGGACTATATGGGATGCTGGGATCAAATCTTAGGTTGGCATGTGCAAAGCAAGCGCCTTATCCCCCGTGCTATACCTCCAGCCTCTGGAATTTGTTTTTATTTGAGGGCATCAACCAGCAGTGCTCTGGGACTGTTCCCGGCTTAGTGCCTAGGGATTATCCCCAGTGACCAGTGGTGCTGGGGCTGGTGGAGAGAGAGCAAGCTGTGCAGGGTAGAGAAAACCCAGCCTCACTTGAATTTTTCTACTCTTAACTGACTTAGGCCCTCTGTCTCCACTCTCCTCTCTCTTTCCTCCCACTTGGAGCCTACAGGCATTTGTGTAGGTCACCCCCTCGGGTGGGTTCCTAGTTTGACATTTTCCCAAACCATTGTGGAGAGTCATTGGTGTGGAGCTGGAAGGATAAGCTCAGGGAGTGAGGCAGTGGCCTGCACTAGCCAACACGATTTAATCCCCAACACCACTTAGAGTTACCTAGCACTGCCAGCGTGATCCCTGAGCACAAAACCAAGAGTAAACCCTAAGGACAGCAGGGTGTGGCCCAAAAACCAAAAGATGCCTGGTTGAGCCGGAGCCATAGTACAGTGGGGAGGGTGCTTGCTTTGCACATGGCAAACCTAGATTTGACCTCGGCATCCATCTAGTCCCCAAACTCTGCCAGGAGTGATCCCTGAATGTAGAGCCAGGAGCACTGCCGGGTTCCTCCCTCTCCCCAAAAAATCAAAGTTGCGTAGTCTATGTCTCATGCTAGTCTAACTCCTCTGTAGCGTGTTCTCTGTCACATAGATGAGTTGGTTTGTTCTTCCTGTCTGGTTGCCAGTGCTGTTGAGCTGTCTGTTCTTCCCTTTGTATTTCCTTCTCTTCTAAAAAAATATGCTCTCGGGCTGGAGCAATAGCACAGCGGGTAGGGCATTTGCCTTGCACACGGCTGACCTGGGTTCGATTCCCAGCATCCCATATGGTCCCCTGAGCACTGCCAGGGGTAATTCCTGAGCGCAGAACCAGGAGTAACCCCTGTGCATCGCTGGGTGTGACCCAAAAAGCAAAAAAAAAAAAAAAATGTTCATGCAATGCTCTTTGATGGGTGAACATGGAAAGAGGAGCCCTGGCTTCAGGGTTTAGGATCAGCCCCTTCACCCCCCACTAGCCGTCCCTACAGCCTCAGATTGGTTTGCTTTACCACTTTCTGCCTCAGTTTCTCTACCACAAAGGAGTAGACCTACCTCACAGCGGTGTTGTGAGACTTAATAAATGGTGTTCCAGTACTTTGGAAACGTGAAGGTGCTCTGTAAAACAAGTATAGGGCAAAAAGCTATGCTTTTTGCGTCTATCAGCTCATTTCTATCAAGAAGGCCTATTTGGGGGGAATGGAGCAGGGTGTGAATGGGAGATACAGCTTGTAGAGGTGGGCTCACCTGGAACAGCAGTCAGCAGTTACATATTTGTGCATGTGAGAGGGAGATTGCCGTTACCTACAGTTAAAAACCATCCAAGGACTTTCTCACTTACAAAACATACAAGTGAGAGGGCTGAAGAGATGTGCAGGGGTTAAGGCACTTGCCCCCGTTTGATCTTCAGCAACACATATGGTCCTCCGAGAACCACCAAGAGTGGCCCCTGAACATACAACCAGGAGTAAACCTGCCAAGTATGGCCCAAAACCAAACACAAGGTAAGAAGAATATGTTATAGGCTGAGGAGATAGTTCAGATCGTAAGTCTCACATGCCCAAAGTCATCCACAAAGATATCAATCACTGTCACTGTCACTGTCCTCCCGTTGTTCATCGATTTGCTCGAGCGGGCCCAGTAACATCTCCATCATGAGACTTGTTGTTACTGTGTTTGGCATATTGAATACATCACGGGTAGCTTGCCGGCGGGCGAGATACTCTTGGTAGCTTGCCGGGCTCTCCAAGAGGGGCGGAGGAATCGAACTCGGGTCGGTCATGTTGGCTGCGTGCAAGGCAAACGCCCTACCGCTGTGCTATCGCTCCAGCCCAAAGGTATCAATATCAACATTAATTCCAAAACACTGTAAGTGTCTGATTTTAGAAAATGCCAGAGGGTAAGGCACGTTCCTTGCACATGGCCAACCTGTATTTTATCTCAGGCATCCCATTTGATTCTCCCAGCACTGCCAGGAGTGCTTCCTAAGTAAGCCCTGAGCATCACTGGGTGTGGCCCCAAAACAGCAAAAAAGCAATGCCAGCCCTGAACACTGCTGTGGGGGTGTGGTATTCATTAAAACATTAGCCATTTCTTTTTTAGTTTGGTTTTTGTTTCTTTTTGAGCCCACACCTGGTAGTGCTCAAAGGTTATTTCTGTCTCTCAGGAATCAGTCCTGGCAGTGCGCAGGGAACCATTTGGAATGACAGGCATCAAATCCAGGTTGGCCATATGCATGGCAAGGGCCTGCCTTCTGTACCAACACTCAGACCCCAAAACCTTGACCATCTCTTGCCTAGGTGACAAGGATGAAACAGGAAAACATGTAGTGGCAGAGACACAGTTCACACAGTTTGCAGTCTCAGGTTTTCCTCAGATGATGTTTTTTTGTTTTGTTTTTGTTTTGTTTTGTTTTGCTTTTTGGGTTACACCTGGTGATGCACATGGGTTACTCCTGACTCTGCACTCAGGAATTACCCCTGGCGGTGCTCAGGGGACCATATGGGATGCTGGGAACCGAAGGCAGGTTGGCTGCGTGGAAGGCAACATCCTACCTGCTGTGCTATTGCTCCAGCCCTCAGATGATGTTTTATGCCCAGGGAGAGTGATCTGGGTGGCGTTGCAGAGGTGGGGCGTGTTAGAGTGAGGGTTAAAATGGTGAGTGGTGGGGCTGAGGACGTGCCTCAGCAATGGAACATTTGCATGCATATTTGAAACCCTCAGTTCAATTCCCTGGCACTGCAAAAAAAAAAAAAATTGTGACAAGATGGATGGCAGATTAAATTTTGAAAGAAAATGCATCAGACCTGTATGTAGTGAGGTTCAAAGACTGAGTGAGCTGTCTGCACATCCTTTGAGAAAGCTTATACAATATGTATTTTTTGGGGGGACACTTGGTTCCTGGCTCCATGCTCTGGGAGAAGGGTCACCCCATGCCAGTGTTAGTTACACCCTGAGTCCCCTTTATGCATAGTTTGTGCTCATCACCCATTCAGCAACCTGGCCCTGCAAATTGATCTTTTTGAAACGGGACATTGCAGAAAATAGAATAGTACAGGAGAGGAACAAAGGGTGATTGGTTTAAAGGAAAACCTGATTTGGTAGAAGAGCAGATGATTCAAGACTGTAGTAAAGAGAGAGAATTCTATTCAAGCATAACATGCTATGTCTGAGTAGAGAATCAGTGCCCACATCTCTCAGTAGGAAAGCTACTCGTAACAAAATGGGCAGTGTAGGCTCATTTTTTTCATCTACCTAGAATGTCAGGAATGGCCATTGCGCGCTGGTCCAGTGGTCACCAGCAGGCTCCCTGCACTGCCCTGTCAGGCATATGCTGTCCCCCACATTACTGCTAACCACAGGGCACGGAGATGACTGCCAGACCTCTCTAGGCCTCATCCTGACTCAAGACCAGAGGGCTAAGACGCAAAGGAGCTTTGGCCTTTCTGTTCCCAGGGCAATAACTTTCAACTTAAGACCTTGTTGGCCAGGGAAACCCACACCTGAGCATGCTGGAAAGGAGTAAACTCATCAGCTCAGGCCCTTCTGCTCTACTTGCAAGTCTCAGTCCCTCAGCTGCCACATGTGATAAACTCCACCACCAAGCTATAACACCTGAACTTCTTCCAGAGGATTTCTTCCAGGGTAAAGAAAGCAGGAATGCAAAACAGGAAAGAGACCCCGACTTAAAGAGATAGAGAGGCCAGAAAGAGTAAACAGGGGTGAAGGTGAGCACATGGTCAACCTGGGATCGATCCCTAGGATCACATACAGTGCCCCAAGCGCCACCAGGAGTCATCCTTGACCACAGAGCCAGGAGTAAGCCCTGAGCATTGCTGGGTATAACCCATAAACAAAAGGAATGCAAAGTGAGGGGGGCAGAGGTAGCTCAACAGTTTGATGCCTTGCCCTGAGGAGGCCTGGGTTTGATCTCCAACAATGCATGGCCTTAGGGTTTCAGCAGCAGTATTTGTAACCCTCTGAGAGAGTGCCTGAACCCTGC